TCACTGATATGTCCCCTAGAGCAAGGAACATAAAGGAAAGAATAAACAAATGGGATCTCATCAAAATAAAAATTTTCTGCAAGGCTAAAGAAAACAGCATTAAAATGAAAAGAGAACCAACAGTATGGGAAAACATATTTGCCAATGATACCTCAGACAAGGGTTTGATCTCCAAAATACATAAAGAACTCACATGTCTCCACCCTAAGAGAACAAGCACCAATTGAAAAATGGGCAAAGGACTTGAACAGATACTTCAACAAGGAGGACATAGAGAGGGTCCAGAGACACATGAAAAGATGCTCAGTATCGATAGCCATCAGTGAGATGCAAATTAAAACCACAATGAGATACCACTTCACACTGGTGAGAATGGCCATCTTAAACAAATCAACAAACAAGTGTTGGAGACGATGTGGAGAAAAGAGAACCCTAGTACACTGTTGGCGGGATTGCAGACTGGTACAGCCACTATGGAAAATAGTATGGAATTTCCTGAGAAAACTAAAAATGGAACTGACTTTTGACCCGGCAACTCCACCACTGGGATTATATCCTAAGAACCCTGAAACAGGGGAAGGAAGAGGGAAGGGCTGGGGTGGTGAGGAGGGCTGGGGGAAAAAGGCAGAAAACTGTACTTGAACAACAATAAAAATGTTTAAGAAAAAAACCCTTGTGTATACAATATGTAAAGATCTCTCAAAACTACAGAGTAAAAAATTAACAACCTAAATGTAAAAATGGACAAAACACATTAATAAGCACTGCATTAAAAAGGACAAATAACTGTCGAGTAAGCACATAAAAAATGTTCAACATTAGTCATTTTGCAAATTAAAACCACATCACATACCTATCAAGAGCAAATGCCGACAAGAATATAGCATTTGATATTGAAGCTGCATCACTCCTATATTGCTGGTACGAATATAAAATGGTACAGTCATTCTGGAATATAGTTTTGCAGCTTTTAAAAACACTAAACATGAGTGAGGGCCTGCGAACCAAAGGATCGTTGCTTGATTCCCAGTCAGGGCACATGCCTGGGTTGCAGGCCAGGTCCCAGCAGGGGACTCACGAGAGGCAACCGTACATTGATATTTCTCTCCCGCTCTCCTTCCCTTCCCCTCTAACGATAAATAAATAAAAATTAAAAAAAAAACACTAAACATTACACTTACCATACAAACTAGCATTGTTTTAAAGTTTAATCTTTATTTTACTTTTTCACATTACCTTTTAGTCCCCTTCCATCCCCTCCCCCCAGTAATCACCATACTGTTAACCCCACTGTCATCGTCTCTCCATCCACAGATGAGTCTGTCTCTGTTTTGCTTGTTAGTTCAGTTTGTTCATTAAATTCCACATATGAGTGAAGTCATATAGTATTTGTCTTTCTCTGACTGGTTTATTCCACTTAGCATTAATATTCTCCAGGTCCATCCAAATTGTTGAAAAGGGTAAAGTTTTCTTCTTTTTTATAGCCGAGTAGAATTCCACTATGTAAATGTACCACAGTTGTTTTATCCACTCACCTATCAATGGACACTTGGGCTGCCTCCATATCTTGATGACTAAACACTGCTGCAATGAACGTAGAGGTGCTTATATTCTTTCAAACTAGTGTTTTGTGTTCCTTTGGATATATTCCCAGAATTGGGATCTTTGGATCCAAAGGCAGATCCTTTTAAATTTTTTGAGGTGTCTCCACACTGCTTTCCACAGTGGCTGCACCAGTCTGCATTCCCTCCAACAATGCACAAGGGCTCCTTTTTCTCCACAACCTTGCCAGCACTTGTTTGTTGATTTATTGATGAGAGACATTCTGACAGTTGTGAGATGGTAATTCATCGTGGTTTTAATTTGCCTTTCTCTGATGATTAGTGATGTTGAGCATCTTTTCACATCTATTGGACATCTGTGTGTCCTCTTCGGATAAGTGTCTACTCATGTCCTTTACCCATTTTTTATAAAAGACTTCATTCCAATTTATTCTTCCTTCCCAATTTATTTTTGTAAGGACAATAGGGAGGAAGAAAGGGAGAGTAACACTGATGTGTGAGGGAAAACATCCACTGGCTGCCTCCTGTACACTCCCAACTGGAGACCTGGCCCGCAACTCAGGCATGTGCCCTGACCTGGAATCGAACTAGTGACCTTTCAGTTCAGAGGCTGACACTCAATCCACTGAGCCACAATAGCCAGGGCTTCCCAGTTTTTAACTGGGTTGTTTTTTTGGTGTTGAGTTTCAGAAGTTCTTTATAAATTTTGGATATTAACCCCATATCAGATGTATCAGCAAATATGTTCACCCATTCTGTGAGTTGTCTTTTTATTTTGTTGACGTTTTCCTTTGCAATGCAAAAACTTTAGTTTGATGTAGTCCCATTTATTTATTTTTTTCTTTTGCTTCCTTTGCCTGGGGAGATATATCCAATAAAAAATTCTACAAGTAGGAGATGGAACATGGTGTCCACTACCTGGTTCATTCAAAGGTTACAGAACTGGGCCTGCAGGCGAAGCTGCAGCTGTGTTACCAGGAGATCGCCAAACAAACTCAGCCTCCTCCCAAACTCCCTGTGGGCCAAAGCCACAAGCCCTCCAGCAACTACTACTGCACTTGCGACAGCCACCAGGAAGCCATGCTGCCTTCGGTCCTCACATCCTCACAGAAGGCACCGGTGTGTAGGTGAGCCAGCAGAGAGCTCAGCTGTGGCAGCCACTGAGAAGGCAGTGACACCAGCTCCTCCCACACAGAGGTGAGAGCTGCCCACTTGCGAGCTTCCTCTCCTTGTCTTCCCTCCCAGGAGAATGTGACCTAACTTATAACAAATAGATTGTGCTCTCCAGTAAAAAGACAAAATTCTACAAGCGATATCTGAGATTTTGCTAGCTATGTTTTCTTCTAGGATTTTTATGGTTTTGGACCTAACATTTAAGTCTTTGACCCATTTTGAATTTATTCTTGTGTGTGATGTAAGAAGATGGTCTAGTTTCATTTTTCTGCACATATCTGTCCAATTTTACTGATACCATGTGTTGAATAAACTATCTTTAGTCCACTGTATGTGCTTGCTTCTTCTGTCAAATATTAATCGACTATAAAGGTGTGGGTTTATTTCTGGGCTCTCTGTTCTGTTCCATTGATTTTAGTGTCTTCTTATGCCAGTACCATGCTGTTTGATTACTATGGCTTTATACTATATTTTGATATTAGGTAGTGTGATTCCTCCAACTTTGTTCTTCTTTCTCAAGACCGCTATTGCTACGCAGGGACTTTTGTGGTTCTGTATTTAAATTTTTGAAATATTTGTTCTAGTTCTATGAAATATGGCACTGGTATCTCAATAGGAATTGCACTGAATCTATAGATTGCTTTGGGTAGTTTGGACATTTTAATGTTAATTATTCCTATCTATGAATATGGTATGTGCTTCCATTTATTTGTATCTCCTTCAATTTCTTTCTTTAGTGTCTTGTAATTTTATGTGTATAGGTCTTCAACATCTTTGGTTAGGTTTGTTCCTAGATATTTTATTCTTTTTGAAGCAACAGTGAATGGGATTGTTTTCTTAATTTCCCTTTCTGTTAGTTTGGTTTTGGCATGTAAAAATGCAACTGATTTCTGGATATTAACTTTGTATCCTGCTTTTGCTGAATTAATTTATCAGTTTTAGTAGTTTCTTGGTGGAATCTTTGGGGTTCTCTAAGTACAGTTTCATGTCATCTGCAACTAGAGACAATTTTACTTCTTCTTTTCCATTTGGATGCCTTTTCTTTCTTCTTCTTGCCTGAATATTGCCACTAGAACTTCCAGTCCTACGTTGAATAAGAGAGATGAAAGCAGACATCCCTGGTTTGTTACTGATCTTAAGGGGAATGTTTGCAGTTTTTGCCTGTTGAGTAAGATGCTGGCAGTGGGTCTGTCATATATGGCCATTTACTGATTAGTGAATGTTGTACCAACTGTGCATCCCCAGAATAAATCCCACTTGATCATGATGTGTGATCTTTTTGATGCATTGCTATATTGGGTTGCTAACATTTTGTCAATAATTTTAGCATCTATGTTCATCAGGGATATTGGCCTATAACTTTCTTTCTTTTAGTGTCTTTATCTGTTTCTGGAATTAGAATAATGCTGGTCTCATAAAATGAGTTTGGGAGCCTTCTCTCCTCCTGAATTTTATGAAATAGTTTGAGAAGAAGAGATGTTAGTTCTTCTTGGAATGTTTGGTAAAATTAATCCGTGAAGGCATCTGGTCCAGGGCTTTTGTTTGTTGGAAGTTTTTTTTTTTTGATTACTGTATAGCTAATAGTTAATAGCTATAAAGTACTGTTTTTAATAGCTAAAAATTAGAAAATACACTCATATCCTTGAACAGGTAAATGGTTAAAAACAATACTTTCACAACATGAAACAAAACTGTCAAACTATTGCTATACATGACAAAATTGATGGATCTTAAGGGCATTTATGATGCATGAAAAAAGCTAATTTCAAAAGCTAAATACATACATACTTTATAATTCCATTTATAAAATATTTCCAGAATAACAAAATTATAGAAATAGAGAACAGATGAGTGACTGCCAGAGATTAGGGATGAGGGGGTGGAGAGAAGGAAGGAGGAAAAGGGTGACTATAAACTAGTGGCATGACAGACATCTTTGTGTTGATAAAACAGGTGTATATTCAGGTAGTTACCTGAATCTGCACACGTGGTAAAACTGCAGAGAACTACATACACACGTAATTGAATAAATGTAAAGCTGGTAAAATACAAATAAGGTGCTCATACCAACATCAATGTTCTGGTTTTGATATTATATTAGAGTTAAGTACAGTAAGACGTGATCATTAGAGGGAATCAGTGGCAGGTATATGAGAACTCTCTGTACCATTTTTGTAACAACATATATAATTATTTCATTTAAAAAGTTAAAAAGAAAAAAAAGAAAACTAAAAGAAAAGGGACAAAAAGCACAGAATTTCATACCTGAGCTGATGCAGCTCATGCTGCCAGGAGAGGTTTTCCTGTCTGAGCTCTTCTTGCATAATCTGAAATGTTTTTGTCTTGTCTTGATACTCCTGAAGTTGAGCCTTCAGTGGACGTAAGTCAGTGATTTCCTGGTTTATCTGTAAGTACTGCTGCTGCAGATTCTTCAATTCCTTCAGCTTCAACCAAAGGGAAAGTAAAAGGGTGATTCATTACATCTCATTCACCCAGCTATAAGTCATCAACACCTCCCTACTAAGTCAATCAGATACCACCACAGACTACATATGAGCACCTAACAGTCCACGGACATATCACTGGAGCATGAATCTCTAAAATGCAAAATACATGCAGCCAGGCTGGTGGGAATCATCCCACTGAACTGCCATCAAGGCTGCAGCGCCTGACCACTCCTGCAACTTCTACCCCGCCCCCCATTCCCAAGATCCTAAAATTGACTCAGTCTACAACTCAGACATGGGATAGACATAAGGGACCAACAGCTTTGTGAGTGGTAAATCCCTAGAACAAAACATGTGAACACAGACTGGTTTTCTATTTAGCCATGTGACCTGGTTAAGCTTCTCAACTTTCTTACGTAGAAGTCAACCTTTACTCTAGCTTAGCTCATGATTATGATATGAAGAAGGCAGTGATGCCCAGGCCCAGTGATTAAGAGCACTCTACCTTTGAAATCCATTACCCTGCCCACACAGATTGCGTGACTCTATGCATGTTCCTCACACCCTTTAAGGCTTAAATTCCCTCGCCTATAAAATGAAGATAATTAGAGTACTTCTCATAATGTTGTGAGAAAAAAAATTACACACACATAAAGTTAATAATATGTACTACACACATAAAGTTAATAATAATGGTGATGATACAATGTGATGCACTTGACTTTAATCAGCAAAACTGCCTATCTGCATTTCATGTATATCTTCAAACTCTTTATCCCCAGTTCTCATTAAAAGCTTGGTAATAAGAATAAAATGGCAGGACATCTGGGCAAAGAGGAGGCCATGAACACACAACTGTTTCACCCATTCCGGAAATACCACTAGTTACAATAAAGGCATTATTTTTTTAAAGCATAAAACACAAGAACAGAAAGAACAAGAGAGGGGTCAGCAGCAACAAAATTAATTTTGCAAGCTGAAGAGCAGATGCATAAGTAGTAAATGACTTAACAGATCTGGGAAAGCCAAATCTTAAGCTGGCAGTGGGGAAAGCCAACAACCAATAGAACTTACTCTGCACAATCTTCAAAAGGCTCGGGAATTAACAGCACCAGGTACCTCTGGAAAAGATGGTGACGGGAATAGGGAGGAGGTGGCTGAAATTAGGAGGATCAGATGAAAGCCGCTAAAGAAAGAAACAATTGTATCCCTAGGTACCCTCCTCAGCTCCGTACTTTTTGTTACCTTGACAAACAACTAAATTTTATTCTCTGGAGAAGGTAAAAGAAGTATTTCTGGACTATGGAAAACCAGGCACAGCTAAACGTGAGGGTACTGCTCTAAAACAAGGGTAATCAAATGAATGTATTCTTTCTGAATGCTTTTAAGTCTTTCCCCTACTCAGCTTGGAAAGTGTTGGCATATATGCCTTTACCTTCTACCACACAGGCATTGAGAAGTCTTCTCTAGAAAATGTGACTGGCCCAAGAGGAACTAAAGACACCACCATAGGGACTGACCACAAAAAGCTCAGCACAATCACCTCACAATCAAACTTGGAGTCGTTCATTACCATCCATAAGTTTTTGACACCCTACACATAAACATAAACAGTAAAGCAAGGATTAACTCTCACCTGAAGAATGGCTAATATTAAGACAGAGAGGAAAAGAAACTAGGAAAGTATTTGAAGGAGATTATCAGGGGCAAATGTAATATACTCTAATATTTAAGAGAGAATATTGGAAATTAGATTCATTACAGTGGAAATAAAAATTATAAAGAAAACCTCAATATGAGAAAGCTTCAAAGAACAAAACTACTAGCACTACTCTTGGAGAGTGATGAACATATGTCCAGAGACATGGGGAAAAAAGAAATCCTTAGAAATTAGAAACATGATGGCAAAAATGAAACTTCTCCGGAAGGTTCCAAAAATGATGGTGAGAATATCTTCCCAAATATAGCAAAAACAGAAAAGGTAAGAAAATTATAGAGTTAATCCATATGGTCCTACATCTAAATAATAGGATTTTCAAAAAAAAAAAAAAAGACAACCAGAAAAAGGACTGATGGTGGGGAGGTGGTAAAACATAAATCGAAAGATTTCCTGAATTTAATTAGTATAAATTCTTAGATTCAAAGGACTACAGAGAATGCAGACTAGAAGATTCTATATATTTCCAAAGAAATGAGAAATGAGAGATGTGTGTTTGATGACAGAAAGAGAGGGAAGAGAAACAGTTCACATATGAAGGATCAGGAATCAATAGCTCTAGACCTCTGAACCACATGTAAGCTAAAAGGCAATGACCAATGTCTTCACAATTTGGAAGGGAAATTATTTTCAGCCTAGAATTCTATACCCAGCTAAACTATCAATCACAACTGAGAGATCAAAAGACATTTTCAATAAATTTACCTTGCACTTATCTTTTCTTAGGGAGCCACTGAATGATTTGTTCCATTAAAATGAGAGCACAAACCAAGACGAAAGAGACATGGAATACAAAAAACAGATCTAATAAAGAAGGAGAAAGGTAAAAGGAGATATTCTAGGATGAAAACCGTCCTGGTAGTACAGGGCAAGAGATTCGTATCTCTTGAGATTCAAGAGATTCAAGTTGGAGACTCTAGGACAATTTTGTTCACGAAGATGACATTAATAGGAATAAACATCTTGAGAGGATATGTGAATAAATGGCATCTTGAGAGGAAATGTGAAATGTGAATAAAAGTCACAGTTTAACACTGATAAGTACAGAAAAAAATCTAAGTAACAACAAAACAGTTACTGACCCTAGGAAATACAAAGATGTTGAGAATAAGTAACACATCTCAGGTCTAATACCATTTATAGTCATAAAAATGTAAACACTGAATGCTGATTTAACCAAACTTAAAATTGCATTACATCAGCCCTGGATGGTGTGGCTCAGTGGACTGAGCACTGGTCTGTGAACCAAAGGGTCATCAGTTCAATTCCCAGTTAGGGCACATGTCTGGGTTATGGGCCAGGTTCCCAGTGACAGCGCGTGAGAGGCAACCACACACTGATGTTTCTCTCCCTCTCTTTCTCTCTCCCTTCCCCTGTGTCTAAATAAAATAAGTAAAATCTTAAAAAAAAAAAAAAAGAATGGTTTAAAAAAATTAAATTACATCAGGAGAACAGGGAAGGAATTGTATATGGAAAGTGTGTGTATGTACTGTGCAGCAGGGTGAGTATAAACCCTGTTAGCATAAAAAAAAGTCCATACCCAATGCAAACAATAAAAACCCAAATGCATACAAGCATATTGATACTGAAGAAACTCCATAATGATAAACTAAAAGCAAACTGCTTCAGGAGAAAGAGAAACAGGGTTGGCGGTGCAACTGTTTGTTTTTCTCATCAAACACTGTAGAATTTAGTGCCTTATTAAATGTGTATATAACTTTTTTAACCCCAAAACTAAAATATAAATATGTTTTGTTTTACTTTAAAGGGAAAATATGTTCCTTATGTAATCCACTCACTCCTCTAGTCCAGATACTTTAAATATTATCCTTGGAATGGACTAACTGGACCACTGGAAAATGTTAAATATTTTTCATAATAAATCACATTACTATATTTACTGAAGAGAAGTAAAGGGTGTTTCACAACCTCATAGAGTCCTCTGTATGGAAACAGGCAAGAAATTTTTTGCAGGCCTCAATATTTAACAACTGTTCTCATCTGTGCAAGCAGTATTTCTTTCTTTCCCTTTCCTAAAATATGGACGCTGCATTTCACGCATATGTTCTTTAAATTCCCTATTTCTGATGGCTGCCAGAAAGCTCAGAGCCATTAGTGGTCCATGATTCTAACAAAGAGTACAGGGCAGTGTGACATCTCCTTGGAACACTAGACTTACTCCTGGTTTGATCTTTTTCCTTCTATCCTCATTTTCTCTGCCTTCCCAGTTCTTATATTATCTTGAAAAACTGTTCATATTTTTATATGCTACCTCAAGTCATTTTCAGAATAAAGTGAGTAAAAATAAATGAATATAGAGGCACCTCTAGAGATTTATTGGTTCTCCACTATCTAGGCTGTGGAAGTGCTTTGTCTGCTTCCCTAAGGAAGTTTAGACAGATAAAACATTCCAGAATGCTTTCAGAGTTGTTTGTTACACCCCAGTACAATCCCCTGGGCTAATAATCCCTGCCACTCAGGCTCAGACTTTATTTTGGGAAAGCTGCCCTTGAGTAAGTAGAGACTAAATCCCTTTCAGACCTAAATCATCTCTGGGGTGCTCCTGAGGGGAAGGGAGAGTAGTATAAGCAGAAGTGACAAACTGCTGGCCTAAGCTGAATGTTTAAACTGCTGGAGGTTGAAACATGTTATCTCCCATATTTACTGCACATACAGCCAAATGACTGAGAGATGAGAAACTTCAGTGCCCATTAGACAGACTGAGAACAAAACTTGTGGAAAGGAAGACTGATGGACAGCTAACAGTACATTCGGAAAGTATGCAGAACGGCCTCAGCAAGTCTGTGAATCAGATATATCACCAAGTCACAATGCCAGGCCTTCATGTGATTTATAACCCTGCCTAGACTTTATGATTCTTCCATGGCAGATATAAAACCCATGACCTCAAAAGACAAATCTCAAAAGTTCCCATAACTCCCCTAACATGAGTTTTACAAAACGGAGGAAATAGTGTTTATAGTAACAACCACAAATACAGAGAATGACCACCAATTGCTGACTATCACCCCTATAATAATTAATTCATTACTCCTATGCTAAAGACCATGGAAATATAAACAAGTATAAGACATGAGACTTATCACCAGATGCTTGCAATTTAATAAGAGAAATAAGTGTATAGTAATTAAACACACATAGACACACACAAAACTAAGGCATTAATATCGCTGATGAACATAGACGCTAAAATCCTCAACAAAATATTGGCAAACCACAGCCAACAATACATTAAAAAGATCATACACCATGACCAAGTAGGATTCATCCCAGGGATGCAAGGATGGTTCAATATTTGCAAATCAGTAAATTCAATACATCACATAAACAAAAACAAAGACAAAAATCACATGATCATATCAATAAATGCAAAAAAATCTTTTGATAAGGTACGGCACCCATTTATGATAAAAACATTCAGCAAAGTGGGAATAGAGGGAGCATTCCTCAAAATAATAAGGGCATATATATGAGAGACCTACAGCCAACATCATACTCAATGGGCAAAAACTAAAAGCTTTCCCACTAAGATCAGGAACAAGACAAGGTTGTCCACTTTCACCACTTCCATTCAGTATAGTATTGGAAGTTTAAGCCACAGTGATCAGACAAGAAAAGGAAATAAAAGGCATCCAAATCAGAAATGAAGAAACAAAACTGTCAATGTTTGCAGATGACATGATAGTGTACTTGGAAAATCCTATAGACTCCACCCAAAAACTGCTTGACCTAATAAATGAATTTGGCAAAACAGTGGGATACAAAGTCGATATCCAGAAATCAAAGGCATTTTTGTATACCAACAATGAAACAGCAAAAGCAGAAATCAAGAAAAAAGTCTCATTAAACACAGCAAAAAGAAAAATAAGATACCTAGGAATAAACCTAACCAAGGAGGTAAAAGACCTGTATGCAGAAAACTACACAATAGTGAAGAAAGAAATCAAGGAAGACACAAACAAATGGAAACATATACCTTGTTCATGGATTGGAAGAATTAACATCATCAAAATGTCCATACTATCCAAAGTAATTTACAGATTCAATGCAATAACTAGTAAAGTACCAATGGCATATTTCACAGACACAGAACAAACACTTCAAAAATTTATATGGAACAACCATAAACAACCCTGAATAGCTGCTAAAATTTTGAGAAAGAAGAGCAAAGTAGGAGGGATCACAATACCTGATACCAAACTGTATTATAAGCCACTGTAATCAAAACAGCCTGAATACTGGCATAAAAACAGGCACATAGACCAATGGAACAGAACAGAGAGCCCAGAAATAAAACCAAGTCTCTACAGTCAATTAACATTAAACAAAGGGGGCAGCAACATAAAATGGACTGAAAATAGCCTCTTCAACAAATGGTGTTGGGAGAGCTGGACAGCTACATGCAAAAAAATGAAACTAGAGCACCAACTTACACCATACACCAAAATAAATTCAAGGTGGATAAAAGACTTAAATATAAGCCGTAACACCATTAAAATCCTAGAGGAGAACATAGGCAGGAAAATCTCAGATATTTCACACAGCAACATTTCTACTGATACATCCCCTAGAGCAAAGGACATAAAGGAAAGAATAAACAAATGAGGTCTCATCAAAATAAAAAGCTTCTGCATAGCTAAAGAAAAGAGTATTAAAACAAAAAGAGAACCAACTGTATGGGAAAACATATTTGCCCATGATACCTCAGACAAGGGTTTACTCTCCAAAGTATACAAAGAACTTACACAACTCTACTCTAAGAAGACAAGCAACCCAATAAAAAGTGGACAAAGGTCTTGAACAGACATTTCTCCAAGGGGGATATACAGAGGATCCAGAGACACATGAAAAGATGCTCAATATCGCTAGCTATCAGAGAGATGCAAATTAGAACCACAATGAGATACCACTTTATACAGGTCAGAATGGCCATCATAAACAAAGCAAAAAATAATAAGTGTTGGAGAGGTTGTGGAGAAAAGGGGACCCTAGTTCACTGTTGGTGGGATTGCAGACTGGTACAACCACTATGGAAAACAGTATGGAATTTCCTAAGAAAACTAAAAATGGATCTGCCTTTTGACCCAGCAATTCCACTGCGAGGATTATATCCTAAGAACCCTGAAACTCCAATCCAAAAGAACCTATGCACCCCAATGTTCATAACAGCACAATTTACAATAGCCAAGTGCTGGAAGCAACCTAGGTGCCCATCAGTAAATGAATGGATCAAAAAACTATGGTACATTTACACAATGGAATTCTATGCAGCAGAGAGAAAGAAGGAGCTCCTACCCTTTGCAACAGCATGGATGGAACTGGAAAGCATTATGCTGAGTGAAATAAGCCAGGCGGTAAAAGACAAATACCATATGATCTCACCTTTAACAAGAACCTAAACAACAAAACAAACAAGCAAGCAAAATATAAACAAAGACACTGAAATAGAGAACAGGCTGACAGTGACCAGGGAGGAGAGGGGAGGGAATTTCAGGGGAAAAGGGGAAGAAGGGTTTACAGGAATAAGATAAAGGACACATGGACAAAAACTAAGAGGAGTGGAAATGGGAGGGAGGTGGGGAGGACTGTGGGGGGTGGGCTGGGACTAAACGACAGGAAACTGTACTTGAACAACAATTAAAATAAATAAATAAATAAATAACCAAGGTGTCATGAGACAAATGAAAAGTACTAGGGAAATACAAACAAAAGGTAATAGACAATCAAGTGATCTGGAAACGTAACCAAAGAGGATTTGAGTTCTGGGGTGACTTTAAAGAGTGGGTAATATTTGCCTCAGAAAAGGAAAATTGAGAGGACATTTTACTTGAAAGGATGGTAATATGGGGAAGTCAAAAGTACTAGATATGATTACTGTACAATGAGCAGATCGGTTTGGCTGAAGAGTATAAGTAGGGAAGAGGTAAAAGGTAAGACTGAAAGAAAGGTAAGGACAAATTATAAGGTCTTCCAAGAGGTTTGAATCATAAGCCTTATCTAAAGATAGCACAACTTTTAAAGGTTTCTGATTAGTGCAGTAATAATAAAGTGGTTTCAGACAGATTTATTCAGCAGTGGTACACAGAATGTACTTAAGAGGTGACAAATTGGGAGCAACAATATTACAACAGTTTAAGGTTAAGGTTTTAAGGACTTAACCTAACTCTTTGATGGTGAAAAGGAAAAAGGAAATATTTGAGTCATAATAAATAAAGAAAAGACAGCCTTGACCAAGTATGGCTCATTAGGCTGGGTGTTGTCCTGCAAAGCAAAATGTCACCAGTTGATTCCTGGTCAAGGCGCATGCCTGGGTTGGGGGTCTGTTCCCCGGTTGCAACAGGTACAAGAGGCAACCGATCAATATTTTCTCTCTCACATCGATGTTCCTCTCACTCCCTCCCACTCTCTCTAAAAATAAATACAATCTTTAAAAAGAATTAAAAAATGATAGACCTTGATGACTAAATGAAATAAAATCCCAAACAGTTATGAGCCTTAGAGAACAGAAAGATGCTACTATGAGTTACAGAAACATGGAAATTTTTTAAAAAGCTGCCTTGACTTGTAAATATCCAGCAGATAAAAATGTGGAACTAGGGTTGAGAGATACAAAGTTTTGTCCCTAGTGTTTATAACGGATAAGAAGAATAGCAAAGTAATTCACTGAATGAAACAGTTAATTTAGAATCTATTGTAACTGCTTCCAGGAAAAAGATTTTGACTTAGAAGACAATCAACACCCGAGTGCTATAAATTACAGCTTTGAGGTATATACTGCCCCAATAAAAAGACCTTTTGTATCTGCATTTCTGAAAGCAATGACAAAAGGTCAAGCTCCTAGGATAGCTGAACTGAAACAATTTAAAAAATATAAACAAATACATAAATTGTGCTGATCTCAAGCCTTCGCTGAAAGGGTGGGCTTTGTTCAGAGCACAAAAGGCAAAAGACTGTCTATAAATACTGGATATTAAGTACAGTACAAATGAACCCATTACCTACAAAGAAGAAGTTTGTGTAAGACTTTATGGTTAGAAGGAATGATCTTTCCACTAGGGTAAATCTTATAAACTAGAACTTTTATATTCTGGACACAGGTCACTTTTTAAAATAGAAAAACCCAGCTTTTTTTTAGCTTTCACTTCCTATTTGGCCTAAGTACATGGGCTTAACAGAATTAAGAGACGTCAATAAAATGAAGACAGTAATATCACAAAGTAGAGTCCCCTGACAACCTGGCTTGGCTCCTAACAGTTCCAGTTTTGCCTCTGAATCTCGATGACACAGAATTTTTCAGACTGAAAACCTGGATTAAACTACTGGATCTTACTAACAGCAGTAACATTAAGCATTAGAGATTCTCCTTATCTTTCTTTCTGATTGGAAAAAAGCTAAGTATTAAAGAAAAGTGACTAAATGGTTCAGTCTGCAATTAAAATTTGACTAAATAGTCATGTAAACATAGTATGACAAATTCTGGAAATATATGTGTGTGTGTGTGTGTGTGTGTGTGTGTGTGTGTATAAAAGATGTAAAATAGCTCTCCCTTAACCAATGAAGAGTTTTATGTAAAGGAAATTTAGTAATTTTTAAAAAAATGGTAATGACAGATTTAAGTAATTTAATTAATATTTTTGTGTTTCTCTAGGACCAAACAGAACCTGTGGGATATATAATACTGTCCCTCAGTGCCCATATAATATATAAAATAATGTGGTTATGCTTTTCTTTAGAAATTAAAATTTAAAGAAAAATTCAAAAACTCTCAAAGATCAGAAAGAGAAAACTACACTCACAAGTCGGTCTCTGTCATTCTGGAGGGACGACATAGCTTTTTTTAAACTCTGTACTTCGGCTGGGCTCGTTGCTGGCTGGGCTGCAGACCTCTGCTTCCCTTCCTCTGTCTTGCGGAATTTCTGTAGTTCATTCAACAGGTGATCTCTCTCACTCTGTAGACTGGCCATAGCCTTAGAAAAAGACTGTACTTGGTTGTAAGAATCTTTTAGTTGTGAGGACAAGTGAAGCAGTTGTTCATCTTTGGATTGAAGCTGTTGGTTAAGTTTCTCAAGGTGAGGAAAGCTGTCCCCGTCAGTGGAGTCCGCTGGAAAGGCAGCTTTAGACACAAGAACATTTCTCTCTCTGCCTGAGAGACCCTGCTCTTCTTTCAGCTGTGCCAGTTCTTTCAGACTGGCATCATACTTCCTTTTCAGTTCATCAAACTCCTCCTTGGCATGGTCTCTACTATTTTGTAGGGAACTCATAGACCTTCCAAACGACTGGATTTGTGCTGTGAGATCTTTATTTTCTTTTGTGACCACGAGTAATTTCTGTTCCATCTCCATCAGATCTCTCGCTAGCTCTGCCACCCTCTCTTCTGCTGTTTCCGTCTCATTTCGCATTATCCCTGCATCATGATGAAGATGCTTTAATTCCTTCTTCATTTTCTCTTCAATTTCACCTACCTTCTTGGCAGCTTCCATCTGAACATGAACCAATTCCTCTTCCAGTTCTGTAATTCTCTTCTGAGAGGAAGAAAGGGTAGTACTTAACCCCTGTACCTCTTCTTCTTTTACTTTTAATTGGGCCTGAAAGCGTCCTAAAGTGCCTTCTTCTTGCAAGGTGGTCAACTCTCTCTTTAGTTGGGATACAGTTACTTTCAACCTTTCAATCTCTTTAGATAAACATTGTTTCTCCTCCTGTAGGGCAATAGAGGACCTCTGCAGATCCTCCTTTGCTTCTTCAGACTCCTTCAGTTTTTCTTCTAATTTAGCATAGTCATTTTTCAGCTCCTTATTCTGTTGAAGTTGAACTTCAAGGAGTTGTTTTTGCTGGCAGTCCTTTCTTGCTATCACTTGGTTCAGGTCTTCTCTATATTGGATCAGTTCTGCATCTAGCTTGGCATTCTCAGAATTAAGATCATCCATATGACTTCTCAAGCATCGAATTTCTTCCTTCAGCTTATTATTCTCAGCAGCAGCCTCTTGTATGAGTTGGTCTTTTTCTAAGATTACAGAAAGATGTCGCTCTTCCAGCTTTTGGTAGTCACCTACTATGCGGTCTCGGTCATCCTGGAGAGAAGACATGGATTTAACGAAGGAATTCAACTGAGCCTTCTGCTGTGTGTTTTCCTTTTTGATGGATTTCAGTGTTTCTATGAGCCGACTGGTTTTGTCCACAGCTTTTTTGTTCTCTTCCAAGACAATATTCTCTTCCCCCTGGGACAACAAGTTTTCCAATTCTTTAATTTCTTTATCATGTTGTTGATGCAGTTCAGCAACAGCTTCTTGGATTGCCTGATCCTTGGCAGAAAGCAGACTTATAATCTTCTGTTCTTTCATGTTTATTTCTTCATGCAGCTTATTGATCAGCTCTCTGGAGGTCTGAAGGTCGGTCTCTAGCTGTTCGTAACTGAACTTACAATTTTGGATATCAGCCTCTTTCTGCTTTATGATCCCTTCCAAATTTTCTCTATTTTCCTTACATTTTTCTAAAGAATTATTTAAATCAGTCCATTGGTCTCTAAGAATCTTAAGTTCTGATTCTAATTTAGCTAATTCATTCTGGGAGTTGTGGTACAGATGTTGAGTCTCTTCTAGCTGGGACAAAAGTTCTTTGTTTTCCGCCTGTAGAGTATCACAGACCTTCTGCTGAAGCTGGACCTCTGTCTGCGCCTTGGACTCCCAAGTCTGCCTGTCATGTTCAAGCCTAGAAAAAAAGAAAAGGTCATAAATTACAGATTTAAAGGAAAACTACTTGATGTTTGAGAAACACATATGACATGTACTCAGATCTACAAATGAATATTCATAATTGGTGTTCATCTTTTTAATGAAAAGATATTAGTTCTACTGAATGCTCTATATGCTACCATATTAAAGGTATATTGCACCTAATGATGCAGATATGTAAATTATAAGCTCCAAATTATCTTGCTTATTTTAGTGACATGGTTTTGAACACTCTAGAAAATTAATACTTTCTACTACTTTGCTCTAGACAAGCTAATGGCTGGCCCCTTAAAAAAATAATCCTGATGTGAGAGGCAACAAGAAGGATACTACTAAAAGTGGAGGAGTGTAAAGTGTGGAGGATACTGTAAGTGACAAAAAATTGGAATTTGAAGAAAATGACTCTAATGCACATACACAGTATGAATTGATGTGGAATATGAGGAAGAGAAAAGAGGCTATATATTAGGAGGCCACAGTGATGATTTGAGAGTATTGTGGTACAAATCCAGACTAGAGTAGCAGAGATGGAAATGAAAAGAGAGGGAAATCTAGGTGATCTCTCAATTAAAAAATGGGAAGAGAAGCAGATGTGAATTTTTAATGTTAATACCATTGCAGCAGAAAGTCATTTGCAAAAAAACAAGAGAGAAAAAGGCACGAGAATATGTCCTCTAGAGGAATTTAAGCCCAAATCAGTCCCATGTTAAATGGAGACTTTCTTTGGCTCCAATTATCTTTGGAAGATATATATATATATATATATTTTTTTTTTTTTTAATTTTCTTTTTACCTGGAAATGTTGATCTTCAATTCCTCCATATGAATGGACATCTGCCTAAGTTGATCCTTTAGAACAGTGCAGTTGTCCTCTTTGAGCCTAATTTCTTCTTCTTTAGTTTGAATAGCATCACTGAACTTCCTCTCCCATTTCTTGGCTTCATCTATTACCCTGTCCCGATCATCCTGGAGGGAAGACATGCTCTTCGTGAAAGCTGCAAGCTGGGCCACAGTACTATCCAAGTTTTCCTGAAGTTGTTTTACTTCCTTGTCTTTCTTGTTTAAAGTAATCTGAATCTCTCCAAACGTCTCTTCCAAGTGGACTTTTTCTCTACTCAAAACATCCAGTTTCTCTTGCATATTCTTCTTCTCTTTCAGATGTTTTTCTTCTACCTGCTCCAGTCTTCGCTCAAGATCTTCATCTTTTTGTTTCATTTGGCTTTTAATGGATTCTTTATTTGACTGAAGTTCCTTTTTCAACTTGAGGTTATCTGCTAGGATTCTTGCTGCTTCACTCTGAGTGTCATCTAGCAGTACCCTGAAGTTAGCTAATTCTGTTTCTGCCTTCTTGCAGTGTTCATTGGCTTGAGCCAGATTTTCTTTGGTTATTTCCAAATCTTTTTGGGACTCAGTCTGAACAAATTCTAGGGCCTTAACAGTTTTCTCCAGAGCACTAATTTTCTCCTGGTACCTGATACAGTCCTTCTGCAGCTGCTTTACTTCTTGTTGTTTTTCTTTTAACAGTTCCTGAAGTTCCTTTGCATGGCTTTTATTACTAGGTTCTTTCTGAGCACCTTGTATCTTCTCCATATATTCTTTGCGGATTTCTGATTCCACCCGAGTTTTCTCCTTGACTAACTGCTGCTTTTCTTCTTCCAATTCACTCACACACTTTTTAAGGTTCTGCATTTCAGACTCTAGTAGCTCATTTTTTATTTGGGCATCTGTAACATCCTGATAATAATTCCCAATGCTTCCATTAAGTTCTGCCAATTGATTCATAAGCCTCTCTTCCAAATCATCTTTCTCTTCTTCTGCTATCTCCTTGAGCTTGGTAACTCTGGCAAGTTCTTCTTGGATTTGCTGATTTAAAAGATTTATTTTGGTTACTTCTTCCTGAAGCATTTTTAGTTCACCATCCTTTGTTGATATTTGATTCAGTAAAGCATTTTTCTCATTTTCTAAAGTCTGGCTAAATTCCTTTGCTCTCTGTTTCTCCTCCTCTAATTCGGCAATTCTTTCTTTGAACTGATCAATCTGCTGTAGGTAGTTACTAATTTCTTCATGTGAGCTGATATTCTCACTTGCATCAGGATTGGCACTGGTCTCTGCTAGAATGGATTTTAAACATTCAGGCCTTGTGTTCATACTCAAAGAGTTTTCCTCACTAGCCTCACTTGGGACAGGCTGACTTGCCCCTTCAATGATATGCATCTGGTTATCATGTTTCTCAGTGGCCTCTAGGATAGCTTGTTTGGACACACTGCCTTCTCTTTGATGTTTTAAATTTTGAATCTCTTCACTTAGAGAGTCCTTCTCAGTCATCAAAGCCTCAAACTCCTTAGAAAGGGTTTTATACTCTGATTTGACCGTTTCTAGCTCCTCCTTCATGTTGGCATTTGAGGAAAGAAGTGCTTCCATACAATCTTGAGATGTACTTCCTGCAGGGTGTACCTCTGTTCTAAGCCGGTCATTCTCTTCTTCCAACTCTAGGATTTTTTGCTGTTTAGATTTAGCAAACTTTCTCATTTTTTCTTTCATTTCTTCCATTTCCTGTTGAGCCTCCTGCAATTGTTTTTCCACCTCTTTCTTGCTTGCTTCTGTGCTTCTTAGCTTGCCATATAGTTCTTGCTTTTCTTGCCTCACATTTTCCACCACATGCTGAATTCTTTCTGCCTCATTACTAACATTCTCATAGGACTGCAGCAGAGTTTCATATTCTTTTTGTAATTCTTTGTGTTTCTCTTGCCACTCAGTGCTTTCCGCAATCTTAGAACATTTCAAAGATTCAATTTCCTTCACTAACTTCTCTTTGTCTTCAGTAAGACCCTCCAAAGCTAATTTCAGACTTTCACAAGAACCACTGAGACTTTGATTTTCCATTAAAGATCTGTCCACTTCTATAATAAGTTTGTCTCTTTCTTCTTGAAGAAGAGCCAACTTTCCTAAGAATGTATCTTTTTCTTGATTCTGAGCAGAAACTTGGCTTTCCACATCTGCCAGAGACTTGGTGAGATGTTCAATGGTATCTGTGGCCAAAGACAACTTCTCCTGGAGACTTTTGTTTTCTTTTAGTGCTTCTTTTCTGGAAATGAGGGCAGCTTGCAGTTTCCTCTGTGTTTGTTGTTTTGCTTTACTTTCTTCTCCAATCTCTTCTGGTTTTTGCTTCATTTCACAAAGTTCCACCTGTAAATGCTTTATCTTTTCATCGTGTTCTTTGGCTTGCATTTCCAGCTGTGTATGCAGAGCCTTAATTAAATCCTCTTGCTCCATTATCTCTGTCCGTACTTTAGTCAGGGCTGCTTCTTTCTCACTAAGCTGCCCAGAAAGGTATCTGACTTCATCTTCCTTTCTGCTTATGAGGTTTTGCAATTCATTTAGTTCAGGCTGTAATTCTCTTAAACGTTCTAATCCAGCAATTTCTAGTTGACTGTTCTCTAATTTCTGCCTCAGGCTTTCTGCACAGGCTTCAGCTTCATGGGATGCCATTTGAAGACTTTGGATTTCAAAACTCTGCTTATTTATCTGCTCTTGTAATTGAAATACCTCTTCTGATTTTTTAGTAAGTTCACTTGCTGTAGAACTAACCCTCAATTCTAACTCCTTTTTCTCAGCCTCTATTTCTTTGAGCTGGGCTTGAATCTGAGCAATAGAAGTATTGCCCTGCACAGCATTTGCATCTCCAGGATGAGAAGGCCAGTCTGGGCACAAGTCAAACTCTAAGACAGACTGAGGGGGATGCTGCTCCATGGCTTTGAATAAAGGTTCTTCTAAACCTTGAGTAGGACAGCTTTGTGCCTGTTGGTCAGTACCTGGGAGTTTTCTGTCTACAGACTCCTTTATTTGACTCTGGAGCTGCTTTAGCTGATCTCCAATGTTCTCATTTTCTTTGCTTTGCTCATCGAACTGTTCTTGCAAGCGATTATAGTTATCTTTCTGTTGCTTTAGCTCCTCCCTAAGATGTCTTTCTTTCTCCTGTGCCTTTTTAAGAATCACCTTGCGAGAGGTTAACACTTCCTGTAGCTTCTTTTGAAGTTGCTCCTTTTCTTTTTCAAGGTCCAGTATCTTTTCTTCCAGTTCTGGTTTCCAGTGCTCTCCACCACCTGCACTAGGAGGACTGTTCACCACTGTTTCCTTTACAGGTTCTGTTGAGCCTCCATCACCAGCATCCTTGTTACCCGTAGTTAACTTTTGGATAATTGCTTGGTTTTCCTTGATTTCTGCTTGGAGCAAATCTATTTGGCTTGCTTTCTCTTGAAGGTTCTGATTTATCTGTTTGATCACAACCTGCAACTCTTCTTCAGCTGTTGCCTTTTCTTCCAAATCCTTCCTTAAATGCTCTAGTTCTACTTCCTTCTCAGATATTGTCTGTTTCAAAGAAATTTCAATTTCTTGGCACTTAGAAGTGACACATTTTTCTGAGCCCTCTTTACTTTCTTTATCCTTCTCCATTTCTCTCCTTTTACTCTCACTGAACAGGACCTCTTTCCCAGATTCATCTTTCACTTTGGCCAATTCCTCTTCCAACCTACTGACTCTTTGCAGAAGTTCCTTTCTGTTAATAAGAGCTGCCTGGAGCTTTTTCTTTCTCTGCTCACTTTCTTTCTTTACGAGGTCTAATTCATGCTGAAGTTCTTCATTATTTATTAGCCCTGCTGGGCCCAACTCATCAGAAGTCTGTTTAAGGCCAGAAACAACTTCTTTACCTTCTTCCACTTGCTCTCTTTTTGCCTCTTCAGCTCTGGATAACAAATTCAGCTGTTCTTTAAGAGTCTTAATTTCTACCCCAAGAGAAAACTTTTCTTCATTAAGCTGAACCATTTTCTCAGTCATACTAAAGCTGATTTCTGTCACTTGCTGATCCTTCTCCTCAATGGTTTGCTGGAGGGTTTCCACATCTCTCTTTTTCTCTAGTAAGAGTTGATTTATTTTTGCTATTTCAAGTTCCTTCTCTGAAAGAGCTTGTGTAAGTTCTTCCATCTTATTTGAGATATCCCTCAGACGTTCTGTCCCCTCAAGCACTTCACTTTCCTTCTTCTGCAGCTGGCTCTGCAGTCTTTTAATCAGTGTACTCTGCTCAGAAAACTGAAGATGTACATCATCCAGTTCATTCTGCAAAACTTCAATTTTCACATCTTTGGATTTGGCTTCTATGCTGAGACTGTGGATCTGTTCAGTAAGCAAGTTGTGATGAGTAGTGTGGCTTTCATAGTCAAGTCTTCTTTGCTTTTCTGCTTCTGCAAGATTCACTTCCAGCTGTTGTACCTTAGCCCTCAGTTCTGTTACCACACTAAGTTCCTTCACCTGAGAGAGAAGCTGGTCTCTTTCTTCAGACAAAGCAGTGAATGCACTGTTGGTGTCTTTGGCATTTTTCTTAAACTCTTCAATCAACTGAGTTAGGTTGCTTATTTCCTTAGCTTTCTCATCTAAATTTTCCCCATAGGTTTCTTGTGCTTTATGAAAGCTAATCTGAAGCTCCAAAATTTGACTTTTTAGCCTTTCTAATTCATCCTGGTGACAGTGACAAGTGCTTGGTACAGCAGAAAGGGGATTATCAACATCACACTGTTTTGTTGACTTCGCTTCTATTCCAGTGTCATTGAAAGATATTTCCTCAGATGTCCTACTTTGATGTTCAGTGCTCATCTGCTCTTCTGTCTCAAGTACAGGAAGATGGCTCTCTTCATCTGACATCAGGGGAAAATGTTTCCCTGTACCTTCAAATAATACTTTCATTGTGACTGGAGGTATTCCTTCACTCTCAGTCTGCTTCATTTCTTTCTGGTCAAGGACCTCAGGGTCCCCCTCAGTCCTTTTGCCCTGGAGCTGCAACTTAAGAAATGCAATCTCTTCTTGAGCTTCCTTCATTTCCAACAATAAAACTGACAGTTCTTTATGTTTCTGAGAAAATGTGTTCTCTGGGACACTTTCCTCAGCAGAAGAGTTGCTCTTGTTGAGCCTGGTAATATCAACCACGCTGATCTGTTTTTAAAGTAAGAAAGACAAAACTTCCATCAAATGTTTTACAAGAAGCAGCCTAACTAATACATAGCATTTTATGTATTTTCCAAAACCTGAAACTTTTAAGCCCAAACCTTCTTCCTACCATAAACCTGCTAAATCCTTTTAAAATCACTTTTTATCTTCCAAATTGGACCTCTAAGAGCATCCCCTCATTTCTGCACTGAGGTGAAGCAATATTCATAAGACCTAAGGACACCTGGAACTTGTCATCTAGATATTCCCTACCTGGAAAATTTTAATTCAGATTAAAATACCGAATTGTTTCTCTAATAAATTGCATAAAAATGAAAAGGGAAGCAAGAACTTAATTAAATTTTTGTTCCATCCCATACCATGGAGGAAATTATGAGATTTCTTTTACTAAACTATCCATTAAAATAAGCCACTAACAGACAAGTACATCATCAACCAAGTACAGTAAGTCCTCACAATGTCAATAAATTCTAGGAACTGTGGCAAAACTAAGTATAATGAAACCAATTTTATCATAGACTAATTGATAGAAACAAGAGTTAAATTCCTGAGGTATCTCATCAATGTTATAATGAAACAACTTTGAATGAAATGACATTACTTGAAAACATGCCATAGACTGAAATAAATGATCAGGATCAAATAATCAAAAGGGAGTTTTGGTGGAGTTTAAGTATGAAATTATGGACTTGTTTGACAAAATATTAACCATTATTATTATGAAGATTATTGTGTTAAACTGCTCAATCCATATAATAAATTACTTTTATAATTTTGTTCAAATATATTTGATTGGTTAAGCTATTTTTAATTTCCTTTAGAAAAATAAAATCAGTGAAATCTTGCGTAAATTTAATTAGTATTTTATTGAATGAGTTTGGGGACAGTGTCTATAATAAAATCTTCACCTTTGTCAATAACACCTTTTTTTTCCAAAAAAAAGTCCAGTTTGATAGAAGGCTACAAATAATGCAGTGGCCAAGGGCACAGCTGTGCAGCCTGAGTACACATCTTAGTTCTGCTATCTAGTAGCAGAAGCTGGCACACAGTAGGTATTCAATGAATATTAGCTATCATCATGGTATCATTCTTAGCCACTGGGTAAGAAAAAAATTCATTATTTAGGAATTTATTATTTTAAGAAAAGTTATCTCATCAGTTTTCATAAGCATTATTTCTTATCATTTAAAACTCTCTGCTCTCTGTATTAATCATATTTACATTTCTAGAGACCAAAACTGGAAACAGTATTCGGACAGGGAAAAAGTTCCTTTACAACTTGAGCACGTCTCATTCCTATTTATCCATCCCTATATACATTAGAGACTTACTACAGTTCAGGCATCACTTCTGCCAGAAGACTTCAACATAAGTCCTGTTTTGCCCTTTCTTACACTAAGTATTTTTACTTCCTCTTTTCTAACTACCTGTCATGCTGCTTCCTATGATATATAAAGAGTTTAACTTTTTGGCTCTAGTAAAAAAAAAAAGAAAATCAATGTCATCCCACAAGGAGAGGGCAGAACACTAGAGAATTTAGCTCCTTCTAGCCACTCTCACTATTTTTCCTCATAAAACTAGTCCGCCTCTCTCAGATGAGCTTATACTTCCTATGAAAATTTTCCTATTCTCATTCCAATAGATTATCTTATTCACCCTTCCTTTTGCAATGTGTGCTTCTTATTTTCTTTTCCATTGTTCCCTCTTTTGTTCTCCCTTCTGGTTCTTCAGTTTTTCTTTCTTTTTAACAGATTCCCATCTTTCTTATCTGCTCTTCTTTTTTGCAATGAGTTACCGTGTTCTCACTAGCCAGGACTACTAGGCATCTTAAAACATTAAGCACACCCTGGCCAAACAAAATTTATTTTCACTTTGTCATTATCCATACAATGCTACAATTTTCAAAATTTAGTTCCTTTTGAACAGAGCATCAATGGCCCAATTAAGAGGCATTGAACGTAAGTGTGGTGGCAATTTTATTGCCAACTTGGCTTGGCCACATTTGGTCAAATATTATTCTAGATGTTTCTGTGAAGATATTGTTAGGTGAGATTAATATTTAAATCAGTAAACTCTGAGTAAAGCATATTATCCCCTATAATGTGGGTGGGCCTCATCCAATCAGTTGAAGGACTTAACAACAACAAAAAAGACTGGCCTCCAGGAAGAGGGAATTCTGCCAGTAGATTGTCTTTAGACTTGAACTGCAAGTCCTCCTTGGATCTCCAGCCTGCTGGCCTACCGCATACATTCTGAATTTGCCAGCCTCCACAACTGCATGACCTAATTCATAAAATAAATCTCTCTCTATACATACACTTCCTATTCTGCTTTCTCTAGAGAACATTAATACAATAAGTAACCAGTTACTTCTGTTAAGAAATTACATTATTTCTCAAGGCCATTCATTACTCTAACCCTTACTTCCTGATTTGAAGAACATGGCTAAGTAAACACAATACAGCTAATAGTAACCTTACATCAACAGAATATTAAGGAACCACACATTAATCTCTAAGTTATAGAAAGCACCATTGTCCAAAAATACCCTTTTAAATATAATCCTTGGTGAAACTGTGCCAAGTGATGGGGAGAGGGGATGAACTACATTTTATCTAATCTCTTTACTGAAGAACCTTTTAGAGATGGGCAAAGAAGCTAAGATAAAATGATAACCCAGTAAGAGAAATGAGTTATAAAATCATTTTTTATTTGTTCAAGACAAATTAAAAAATCCAAATATTCAGATTTGGGAATCTCACTAATGAGATTATATGGGAACTAATAACCATTACCAATTTCTTAAGTAGATCTCACTTTCTAAGTAATGTAATTCTCTGTCAACATTAGGAAGTTGCAGAAATGTTTAGGCTTGAAGGTAAGTCCTCTCTGATGTAGTTCGCATTCTGGTTATGTTAAGAATGAATCACTTACCTCACCAACTTCTCTATCTGCTTCTCCAGTTCTATTCTGAGCTTCCAGAAGAGTAATCTGAGAAGACAGTTTTTCTGAAAGTCACAAAAGAAATATCCTTAACAAGATATAAACAGACTGTTTGAAAAAGACAAAATAGTTTGGGGGAGATAAAAGGCTTATTTTATTTATTTTTTTAAGTTTATTTACTTAATTGTTGTTCAAGTACAGTTTTCTGTCTTTTACTCCCAGGGCTTATTTTATTAAAAAGAACTGGTGAGAAAAGAGAAGATATAAGATAGACTGCTACTATTAGGTGATAATGATTAACCTGGGTAAGTAAATAGTGGAGGCTTTAAAGTAGAAGGACTCCAGAACATGTGACAAAAAGGAGGTATTTCCATAGCACAATTTGGAACTTCTAGGGCAATAAATTGGCCTTAATTTATCCATAACCCTACCGTGTTTTGGAATATACACCTTGTATTAATATAGCACTAATAATGCCTTCAATGTTCTTTTACATATGTTCATAAAGACAACAAATTCTAGCACTAGAAGGGCGTCATCCAACCTCCGCAATGACCAGATGAGGAAATGAAGAAATGACATGACCTACAGCTAGTTCACAGAGAGCTGAAGTCAGAGTCCAATCATCTGAGTTCTACCCCATGTTCTATTATAACGTGTATACCTAAAAAGGGTAGTAGGACCTTGGAGGATAAAAATATTGAGTATTAATATGCTCCCAACAAGTTTATATTCCCTCTGAGAAGCTAAGACAGATATAGCAAAGAAAAAAACCAGCAGACTGTTTATACTACATCCAAATGTTGTCCAGCATGACCCACGTGGGCCCTCACTGTCTGACCCCCACTCACTCTACAGTCTCCTCTTTGCGCACTGCCCCCTTTATGTTTACTCTACTCCCCAAACACTGACCTTCTTTCTGTCTGCAACATACAAGGTTATTCATACCTCAGGGTACTTGGCACTGCTTTTGCCCTGCTTAGACTGCTCAGCCTCTTTGCATGGCTGCTCCTCTTCATCACATTCAGGTTTCAAGTTCTCATAAAGGCCCACCCTGACTACTCTAATGCTGCTATTCTTCCCACAGGCACACTTGAGCGACCTGTTTGATTTTTATCCTAATACATATCACTGTGAAATTTTCTTATTTATTTACATTTCATGGTCTGTCTTCCCTTCTAATATGCTCAAAGTAGTATCCTTAGCAACTAGATTAGTGCCTGGCACATAGTAAAGGCACCACAAAAATTTACTAAATAAATGAACATTCATGAAACAAATGAACTCAACACAGTATACAATATGATTAGACACAAGATTATTTGAGGAAAGGGTACAGTGGCAGAAAAGTGCAAAGGGTGAGTTAGCAGAACAGGACACATAAAGAAAAGGTAACCCATGAGACCAGACATGAAAACTAATACAAAAAAACTTAAAAGCAGCGACCTCTGCAGGGAAGAACAGGAGTTTGAAATACATGCAACACCTCTAAACCATAATGAGCTACATGAAAGTGATAGGTACTGTTTGCAAAATTAAAAAATAATTGGCAAAGTCTCAAAGAAATGCTTTCAGTGGGCTGAATAATGAGCTGAGTCTTTGGTGTTCTTTAGGTATCAGCAATGTTGGGAATAGCCTAATAAAGGTATAATCCCTGGTTTAAAGCTAAGTGGAACACGTGAAAGGGTTAGGGTGGAAATGCTGGCTTGTAGGGGTGGCCAACCTGCGGCCACAGACCACATGCAGCCCAGACGGCTGTGAGTGTGGCCCAACCCAAACTGTCAATTTACTTAAAACATTATGAGATGTTTTTTTGTGATTATGTGTCGCAGTGTATTTACTGTGTGACCCAAGATAACTCTTCTTCCAGTGTGGCCCAGAGATGCCAAAAGGTTGCACAGCCCTGCTTAGAGTTTAAGAAATGATACAAACTACTTGGTGTTCATTTTCACTCAGAAGACAAAAGCCCATCAGTCAGTTAATCCAGGATAAAATAGATCAGTAAATCACTATTAATTACATGCTACTAAAACCGTAAGGTGAAGGGGTTGATAAATGGAAGGAGGGGATGTCTTCTTTCTTACCAAGGAGCCACACACATTCCAACAGAATTAAATGCTAAATTTAGTTCAATCCAACAGAACTTTATTAGACAGCTACTATTTGCCAGGTCCGATTCTAGTTCTTATTCAAGGATAAAGGAGAGAAGACAAAAAAATAGCCCCTGTCCTGAAAGAGCTTAACTTTTTCTTTGAAAAGCATACAGCACAAAATATAACCAGATTATTTTAGTGTAATGTTAAAGGAAAGAAAGGATGTTATGAAAGCACAAAATACACTTAACCCAACTTTGGGGATCAAAGTCAACTTGCTGAGAAAGGCAATGCCCCGGTTGAGGCCTATAAGGTGAGTAAGAATTAGCCAAGCTAAAGGAAAGAAACAGGGTTCCAAGCTATGGAGAGCATGAGGAAAACCCCAAATGGTTTCAACCTTTGAACCTTTATTTATACTGATGTCCCTTACCTCATCTCACAAATTTATTACCAGGAATTTCCCTTCTTTTTTCATTTTGACCACTTAAAAATTCATCATCTTGGTGAAGTCCTCTTTAGCCCACATTTCCTAGAAGAGTCCTTAAACACTCCAGAATGAATATAATACAGATATCCTGCAGCATTTATAACCCAAACTGCAAAATGTAAATATTGGTGTTGTGTTCAAATTGTTTAATGTGTGTTGATGCCATCTCTGATAACCACCCACTCAGCTATCTAAGATCTGTATTATCAAGCAATAAGTGAATCTATAAATTAGTGTATTTTTCAGACTATAAGATGTACTTTCTCCCCCGCTAAATTTGGGAGGAAAATGGGTATGTGTCTTCTAGTCCGAATGTAGCGTACCTGGCTCGCTGTGGCATGGCCTATGTTATTTGTGTTATTAAATATTTTACCACATAGTTGGCCTCAAAATTTTCTCCCTACTTTCTTCCTCTAAAACCTAGGTGCGTCTTATGGTCCAGTGCATCTTACCGTCTGAAAAAATCGGTATTTACATATTGTGATAAAAGCAGAGGCACTTGCAGGTGAAGAAGACACAACTACACTTTTTATTTATACGTACCATTCTCGGCTTTCAGCTTCTCCAGTTCTATGGAGTTAAGGAGCAAGGTTTGCTTTTCATTTTCCAGCTCCACCACCCTCTTCTGCAAAAAGGCAGTACTGTCTTCAGTGATTGCCTAAATTGTGGAAAGAACACAAATTAACGATTCTCCAGTGAAAAACTCTTAGTAATGCCAGATAACCTCCAGCACTTTTTGTCTTCTACAAGTTCTCCAGCCATAAAAATACTTTTAAAAGTACCCCTACTTCCTACCTAAGTGATAATTAAAAAATGTTTCTATAAAGAAAAAATATTTCACACAAAATTCCAGTTCATTGGTTTTTGAAATTAAAACTGAAGCCTAGATTACAAAGACAGAAATCCCAAGTCTGTTGCAGAGAAAGATTATCAGGTCCACAGATAACATCACAAAATTAGGTTAATGCTGCCAGATAACAAGGTTGCTCTTTTTTAACTGTTGTTCAAGTACATTTGTCTCCATTTTCTACCCACCACTCTCCCCACCTGAACATAAAGAGCAGTTCTCAAAGAACAGAGGCAAAAGTAGTATGTACCCCGTAAGAAAGATCCGTAATTGTTTCTGTTTTTCAAAGTATAGTACAAATCTTCTTGTGCTTCTTTTATGCAAACATATTGTTTGCTTTTCCTAATGACAAATATCAAATTATGCCACCTTAGTTGTGTGTCTTTTTATGTATTTTTCTGCTTCAATTACAAAAATTCTATGTAATTTTTCAGAAAAGTATAGATATTTTGAGCCTTGAGGGTCTTTACAGCTCACTCAGCCCCAAACTTTCATTTCATGTTTAAACAATGATGAGGTAAGTTTAAGAATTTTATGGCTTATATCCCAAAGGAGTTCCCAATATATTATACAAGGAAGTAAAACACAGAAATGCTACAGGTAATTCTGGCTTGAAGAATGAGGAGACAGACTCTGGGACAAACACAGCTGTCAGAACTTGAGGGGGGTGGGAATCAAAGAGAGAGAAAATTTTAGCAAGGGGGAGCCCTAAATTTTATTGGGTTGCCCAAAAAGTGTTTCATTTTTTTCATATGATGGCTCGTGTCACTTAATTGTCTTTAACTTCATTCAAAACAATTTTGTTAATTTCTATTATGACAGCTGTCCTATCAGTGTGCATTAAAAAAAACTTATCAAAACTGGTGAATTCTGGGGCAGCCATTTTAATATTGAAGATGGAAGAAAATACACAACATTTTTGGCATATTATGCTTCATGATTTCAAGAAAGATAAAAATGCAACTGAAACGCAAAAAAAAAAAGATTCGTGCAGTGTATGGAGAAGGTGCTGTGACTGATCAAACATGACGAAAGTGGTTTGCGAAGTTTCTTTGTACTACCCACACTTTGGCCAAATTAATTCTTTGCTCTGGGGCTGTCTTACGCATTGTTAAATGTTTAGCAGCACCCCTGGCCTTTAACCACTAGAATTCAATAGCAGGAGATAGCCGACATACTGGAAATATCCAAATCAATTAATTTCTTGATGAGAATGAAAAATGTATTTTTTATTATATTAAAAAAAATTTTTTTAATTCCTTAAAATCATTGAAGTCATTTGACTTCAGCCAAGCCAGTATGAGTAATGAACTATTCATTTGCAGAGGTGACTTGAAGCTAAGACAAAAATAATTCAACTCAGTTTTGAGTAGCTGACTACCATAGGCTAGTTTGTGGTTTGGAGCCCAAATTACCGGCTAATCAAAAAGTAATCAAAAGTCTTCAGAAATTAGATAACAGAAGAGAATCTTGAGAACAAAACAAGCACAATATTCAGGATTCAATACAAAATCACTCATCACACAAAGACACAGGAAAATGTTACCAACTCTCAGAACAAACAAACAGATATATTCAACAGAGGCCAAGTACAAGATGATACAGATTTTGGAATTAGCAAACGATAATTTTAAAGACACTATTCATAACTACCTTGACATAAAGAAAAATATGTTTATCATGAATGAAAAAACAGAAGTCTTAGTAGAGACTACCACAGAAAGACAAAGGGCAAAATGGACAGAAAAGTTTTTTGAAGAAATAATGACCAAAATTTTCCCAAACATAAATTAACATGTAAGAAACCTAACAAAAGCTAGGGAAGAAAATTATGTAGAAAACCACAACTAAATACAATACAAACAAAAATAAAATGAAAATTCTTAATGTTAAAATTACGATCTGGGACTTCTAACTATTGTTAATATAATACAAACAACACCTGTAGCATAAAGAATAATAGCACAAGGGTTTAAGATCACAAGGTTTCTATTGTGCATTTAAAGTGGAATGGAACAGTATTAATACTAAGTCTGAGAAGATGAAATGGTTAAGGACATATACTGTAAACAAGGTACATCATGCTGACACTAGTCAGAAGAAAAACAGAGTAGCTATATTAATATCAGACAAAAGTAGATCTCAAAGAATGTCGCCATGGGTAAAAAAAGGTCATTTCATAATGATAAATGGGTCACAATAAGACATAAAAAAAGACATAAAATGTCTCTTTTTATCTCTATACAGAGAACAAACTGAAGGGAAGGGAGCTCAGGGGGCTGGGTGGAAAGGATGAAGAAGTCAGGAAGTACTAACTAGCAGTTGCAAAACAGTCTCAGGGACATAAAGTAAAGCATAGGAAACATAATCAATAACAGTGTAGTAACTATGTATGCTGCCAGGTGGGTACTAGACTTAATGGAGTGGGGAGGGTCCGCTTTGCAAATTATGCACATGTCTAACCACCATGCTGTACACTTGAAACTAAGATATTTGAATGTTAACTGTAATTGAAAAAAAGTAAAACAAAAAGAAAAAATGGTAAATGTTTAAATCTCCAATAATACAGCTTAAAAATACATGATGAAAAAACTGATAAAACTATGATATACATAAATTCACAACTATAATCTGAGTTTTCAATACTCAATTTAATAACTGAGAACAAGTAGGCAAAAAAGCAGCAAGTATATGGTTCACTTGAATAACATTATTAACCAATCTCACGTGATTGACATTTATAAAACACACCAGTCAACAAGAACAGACTACACATTATTTCCAAGTATGTATGGGACATATAGAAAAATAAATAATATTCTGGTTCATAAGAGAAGTCTCAATCAATTCTAAAAGACTCAAGTTACATGAAATAGGGACTCTGGAATTAAAGACCTCTAGGCATATCACCTACAAATACTCAGAAACTTAACATCCCACAGGGCAAAGAAGAAATCAAAAGGTGTATTTATATATTGAACTGAGTGAAAATGAAAACACAACAGAATTGGTGGGATGCTGCTAAAGCAGATTTTAGGGGGAAATGTATATGATAAAATGCCTGTATTAGAAATAATGAAGGTCTCAAACTAATGGCCTCAGATTATACCTTAAGAAGCTAAGAAGAAATCAAATACAAAGTAAACAGAAGAAAGGAAATAGCAAAGATCAAAGTATAAATCAATAAAATGGATAATGGAAAAAAGAAAACAGCGAATCAATAAAAGCCAAAGCTGTTTTTTGACATCAGTAAAGTTATTAAACCTCTGGTCAGTCTAACCTATATAAGAAAGAAAACACAGAACAATAGAGGACTTCTGCCGAGATGGAGGCGTAGGTGGAAACACCGTGCCTTCTCGCACAACCAAGTTTAAAGACAACAAAGTTTTAGTACCAAAAAACGCAGCCAAAACACAGAAAACTGAACTATATGGAAGTTCAACAACTACGAACCCTCAGCTAGACCAGTAAGAGGGGCGGAGCCAGAAGCGGAGCGGGTTCGGGCAGGAAAGATCCCTGACCTTGGCACACAGGCAGCCGTGAGCAGATCCCAGGTGTGGGGTGGCAACGGGCGGACCCAGTGAGGGCGCAAGGCGGCAGGCTAACCAAGGTCACACATTCACACGCAGATAAACCAGCGAAGGAGCGAGCAGTGAGACAGAGCGCGCAGGCCCCAGCAGCAAGAAGCAGCACAGGGGACTGCCACTGCCCCTCTCTGACCCACCCCCACATACAGCTTCACAACCCAGTGACCTGGGTCACCCTGCCCTGGTAAACACCTAAGGCTCCATTCCTCATATTTAACAGGTACGAACAGATCAAAACATTATGGCTCAAGACGAACAGCTCAAAGCCCCAGAGCCAATACTTCTAAGTAACCAAGAGATAGCAAAACTTTCAGATGCACAGTTCAAAACACTGGTGATCAGGATGCTCACAGAACTGGTTGATTTTAGTCACAAATCAGAGGAACATATGAAGGCTAAACTAATTGAAATGAAGGGAAATGCACAGGAAACCAATAGCGATGGAAAGGAAACTAGGACTCAAATCAAGGGAATGGACCAGAAGGAAGAAAAAAATGACCAAACAGAAAAGAATGAAGAAACAAGAATTCAAAAAAATGAGGACAGGCTTAGGAACATCCAGGACATCTTTAAACGCTCCAACATCCGGATTATAGGGGTACCATAAGGGGAAGAGGAAGAACAAGTGGAACACTTATTTGAACAAATAATAAAGGAGAATTTCCCCAATCTGGCAAAGGAAATAGACTTCCAGAAAATCCAGGAAGCTCAGAGTCCCAAAGAAGATGGACCCAAGAAGGAACACACCAAGGCACATCATCATTACATTAGCCAAGATTAAAATGAAGGAGAGAATCCTAGAAGCAGCAAGAGATAAGGGGACAGTTACCTACAAAGGAGTTCACATCAGACTATCAGTGGATTTCTCAAAAGAGACTTTACAGGCAAGAAGGGGCTGGAAAGAAGTATTCCAAGTCATGAATCCAAAGACCTATATCCCAGATTGATCTACCCAGCAAAGCTTTCATTTAGAATGGAAGGGCAGATAAAGTGCTTCTCAGATAAGGTCAAATTCAAGGAGTTCATCATCACCAAGTCCTTATTATATGAAATGTTAAAGGGACTTACCTAAGAAAAAGAAGATAAAAAATATGAACAGTGAAAGGACAGCAAACTCACAGTTATTAACAACCACACCTAAAACAAAAGCAAACTAAGAGGACAGCTGGATCAGGAACAGAACCACAGAAATGGAGATCACATGGAGGGTTAGCAACAAGGGAGTGGGAAGAGGAGAAGGGGGGAGAAGGTACAGAGAATAAGTAGCATAGACTATAGGTAGAAAACAGACTTTGGGGAGGGCAAGAATAGTAGGGGAAATATAGAATCTAAAGAACTTGTGACACATGGTCATAACCTAAGGGGGGGAATGGTGGGGGAGGGGTGTGCAGGGTAGAAGGGAATGAAGGGGGGAAATGGGACAACTGTAATGGCATAATCAATAAAATATATTTTAAAAAATAAATAAAAATAAAACACATGTTTTAAAACATCTACAAACCAGAAAATTAAACCTATTTGGGGAGAAGCAATAGAAGAAATAAAAATGAATAACTGTGATTGAAAACTCAGTAAAATATTAACATCAGATTAAACATAGGTAAAGCTATAAGTTACTGAATTACAAAAGAGGACAGAAAAAATTCTAGAGGAAAACAATCTAATGAATGCAGACGAAAAATTAAAAGGCAAGAAGGATAGCATGGGAAGAGAAAGGCAAGAAGGACAGCATGGGAAATATAGAATCTAAAGAACTTGAGACATGTGGTCATAAACTAAAGGGGGGGTGTGCAGGGTGGAGGGGAATGCAGGGGAGGGAATAGGACAACTGTAATGGCATAATCAATATATCTATTAAAAAAAAGATAATCATAAAACTAAAAAGAAGAAAGAAAGCACAAATTACCATTATTGGGAATGGGACAATTGATATAACTACAGATTCAAGTGATATCAAAAGGATAATTAGGGACTATTATGAATTACTTAATACTTATAAATTTGAGGCTTTTGATTAAGTGGGTAAATTTGCTAGAAGAGATACAAAACACTGAAGAAAAAATAAATAACCTAAACAGCCATGTAGCTTTTGGGTTGGCCAAAAACTCTGTATGTTTTTTTTTGCCTGTAATACAAAAGAAACATTTTCACCAGTAACATCATTGATTTGGATATTCTGAGTATGTCAGCTATCTCCAGCTATTGGTTTCTACTGAGTAGAGGCAGGGGTGCTGCTAAACATCCCAAATAGCTCCCATATCTTCTAATACATCACACACCCTCACAGCAAAGAGGTATTTGGCCAAAATGTCAATAGTACCAAGAAACTATGCAAACCACTTTCAACACGATTGATTGGTCACAGTACCTTCTCCATACACTGCACCAATCTTTTTTTGCATTTCAGGTGCATTTTCACCTTTCTGGAAAACATGAAGCATAACATGCCAAAAAAGCTGCGTGTTTTCTTCCATCTTCGGTAATAAAATGGCTGCCCAAAAAGTCACCAATTTTTTTTAGTTTGATGTATTTTTTAAATGCATGTTGATAATGACAGCTGTAACAACATAAATTAACAAAATTGTTTTGAATGAAGTTAAAGATGAGGAAAAAGTGAAACAAACTTTTTGGCCAACCTAATACTAAACAAATAAAATGTGTACAAAAATATGCTCCCACAAAAAAAAAACTCCAAAAATAATTGGCTTCTCTGATTAATTTTCACAAAAAAAATTTAAGAAATAATATCAAGTATACACAAAACTTTTAAAAAAAACAATAAAAAAGAATACTTCTCAATTCATTCCAAAAGGCTACTATTAATCATATAGCAAAACCAGAAAAATATATTACAGAAAACTATAGGCAAACTAATAATCCTCATGAACATAAATGCAAAATATTAAAACAAAATTTTAGCAAACTGAATCTAACAAACTAGAAAGATAATATATTATTACCAAGTGAGGTTTATCCCTGAAACTCACATCCACTGCTAGTGGGAATGTAAAATGAAAAGACCACTTTGAAAAACAGTCTGAAAGGGCCTCAGAAACTCCCAAGCAGCTCCCATATGACCAAGACATTCCACTTCTAGGTGTTTACCAAGAATAAAGAAACTATAGGTTCAGACAAAGGTATGTAAAAGAACATTCACAGAAGCTTTATTTGTAATTGCCAAAATCTGTCAACTACCCAGATCTGTCCAATGATACATGGACAGACAAACTGCAGTATGGAGAATATATCCTCAATAATATAAAGGGATGAATTATTGCTACATACATAATAGGATGAGTCTCAAAATAAACCCACTGGAAAAAAAACAGAAAAAAGTAAAGAGTAGCTACAAATGATATAAAATCTTAAAAAACCACAAACTAATCTATAATGATAAAAAAAAAAACACCAGTGGTTGCCTGGGTAGGGGGCGGTGTGAGGAAGAAATTAAAAGGGGGCATGATGATGAAAATGTTCATATTCTTGACTACAGTGATGGTTTAAAGCATACACCAAAATTTACCAAACTGTACACTTTAAAAGTGTGCATATTGTTGTATGACAATTTTGCCTCTCTTTGAACTAATTAAAAGGAAAATAAGTCAATAGATAAATGAAAATAAAATTTAAAAAACTTGAAATTACCAGGGAAATTATAGCCCAATCATGCAAAAGGAAAATGCAGCATATCCATAGAATAGAATACTTTTCAACAATAAAAAAAGATTTATAATACAGGAGCAAAATGCATGAAACTCAAAACATGCTATGTGAAAGAAGCTGTCCACAGAAGAGGACGCACGTCTGACTGCATTAATGTGATGTTGTGAAACAGGCACAATTCGTCCACAGTGAAAACAATGCTGCACTGGTTGCCTCTGGACAGGAAGGGTGGGTCTTTTCATTTTACAACTTTAAAAGTGTAGGAGCTGAAACCCATATAAATTTTATTAACCAGTGTAACTCCAATAAATTCAACTAAAAAAAGTATGAGGATATTATGTCCTGGGATGATGGTAATAATATATCTTGACAAGGATTTGGGTAATAGGTACATGCGTTCAACGAAACTCAATGAATGGTACACTTAATATTTGTACTTATCATGTTCTGTAAATCCTCAAAAGAACCACAAATAAGTATTAAAATCTAATCAATGACATGCATGCTGAAATATTTAGAAGAAACATACTGATGTCCACAACTTATTGTGAAGTGTATAAGAAAATTAAGACAAATCAATGGATGGATAAATGGATATTTGATAAAGCAAGTGCAATAAAATGTTAGTAAGAAAATCTAGAAGGTGAGCATATACATGTTCACCGTAAGTTTCGTTAAATTTTTTTGAATTGTTGATAAAGTCTTAACAAAACATTGAAGGAAAAGTTGAAAATTAAAGAATAGAAGAGATTGGAAAGCCTAGATGGTAGAAACCAGAAAATAAAAATTTTAATCAGTGGATAGGACCACCCAGGAAACATGGGACTCTGCCAGCCAATATGTCTGTTTGGAAAAGTACAACCTTATAGTGAAGATGAATGATACCACTTATCCTACTTTGACATTAACTAAGTAAGATCATCAAACTGACTCCCCTTGGTCTGATATTCTTGCTCAATTAGGAGCCTTCTGGTAATTATAAGCTAACTTTCCACAGAGATTTGTATAGAAGAAAAAATATACAGGTCAATTAACAGCTACTTGGTAATTACATGTTTTACTGTTAATTAATTAATGGAAGCATTGTGATTTCTACAATAAACTTATAAATTTGGGTAGAACGAATTGTATATATTAAACCTGATCAAATCTCAGCCTACCAAAAACAAAATTGCCTTCTCGACTAAGAAAACTGACAGTAAGATTAAAAAATAATGATTCATCTCCAATACAGATTTCTAAGGCCTTAGAATCAGAAAGGCTTCTGAGATCATGGTGCTTGTTATCTACTTTTTTATCATGATTCATTGCCAAGACACAAAATTAATGTCTTTCCTGATTCCTTTCAAAAATGCATTTTTATCAGGCATAAAAGACAGAAGGCTTATACTGCTTTATGGAATAAATTCTCATTAGAACACCCAAAGACAAAAAGATCATATTCATAAGAAGTATACATTTCATTACCTGTGCACCCTCATTATCAATATCTGGGAAAGAAGTCTGAGATGCTGTTTCATTGTTCTGCACGGTTGGTTTATTTAGAAATTGGCTAATTTCTTTGGATTTTTGCTCAAGTTGATCTAAGGAAAAGAAAACAAATAGAAATAATCTCTGCCTCAAGTCTGAAATTTACTGAGTTATTATTTTCCGGAGATACATTATATGCTGTTTACTCTAGTTATTTAGTTTAAAGATGTGGTGCCACTGACAGGATTTTTAAAAACTGTTTAAATGCTCTCAAGGACCAAAAGCAACTCGGTAAGCCACTTGCTTCAAAGGTGAAATAAAACAAGCCTAAGCATTTTTTAAAGTCATTTTTCCTTTCCCCCTTAAAAATGCCTTTAGTGTTTTTTATTTCTCCACTCTTCACTGAAGTGTTATAAATCTCACTGAGAATCTATAGCAGTTTTAAATATGAATGGTCCACTTAAGACCACAGTGTGCTGGTAACACGCTGTTCCCACCATATTATCCGCCTCAAGGTCTCCTGGTTAATGTTTAGTCCTTCAATACAGATCTTCAGCTCAAGTCTCTCTAACGTCTTTCTTTTGTGTATATGCCAAACCATTAGAATTAAACTAAATTAGAAGCACCTATTACTTTAATATCATGTTTTTAAAAAAATAAGTTTCCTTTAAAACTTCATAAAGTTTTCTTTAAAAAGAAATTTCCAATTACAAGAAAAACATTCAGATCCATCTTTAGAAGTAAAAATTACACCATGCAACTCAGTCTGCCTACCTATGCACCTAGATCTGGCCTGAGTCATCCACAAATTAATCCAAATCCTACTCACTTCAGTCACTGAACCCTTCAGACCACAGTCATGTTTTACGTTCTTTTAAATATTTGGCACAGCATTATCAACAGTTTTTAGTGTTATGATGATCATTATAGTACTAAACAAGATTATAACTTTAGTCAGAAACAGGAGAAATGCAACAGAGCCCAGAAGAGATGCCTTTCTCAATCCTTCTACTGATTCAGTTGTTTTGAGCAAATGATACCATTAACAGATCCCTACAATTCTGAAGTAGAAACACTCAAGTACTAGACAGGTGGGCTTCAAAAACAATCAAACACTGACCTTCCAGCTGCTGAATGGCCTGGGCTGAATGAAGTACCTGTTCACTCTTATCTTGGAGAAGCTTTGCATTTTCATCCTTTAGAGCAACACAGGCAGACTGTAGTTCTTGCTCAGTCTTCTGAAGACTCAATATGTGAGAAGTCTTCTCTTCCATTTCTGCTTTGTGCTTCTGCTCCAAAGCACTGTACCGGGACTGAAGGTCAGCCTGGGCTTGACCTGCCTGCTCGAGTCGTTCCAGCAGGTGATGCATTTCGTCCTGCAGGTTATGGAAGGATAATTTTCTTTCTGCCACTTCAAGTTCCATCTTTCCCATTAGAATCTTGGACTCCTCTCTTTCTGTCTCCACAGTGTTTCTTAAAGTATTATACTCAGCTTCCATCTGCTGTAACTGCTGAGAGAGAATCTAAGGAAAAAGACAAGTCTCATGAAACATAAATTCTTTCAACAGCATTAATTCATTTCAGTGAGCACAGTGAATTAACGCACAGGGCTGGATAACTGTGTAGGTCTGACCTGCTATTTTTGCTTCTTGCTGCTTTTGAGAGTTTGTATTTATTTGTGCCATTATTGTATATATTTATCATCTTTATTGTATATATAAATAAGTAACTGTATATATTTGTTGTCTTTTAATTTCTGTCTCTCCCAAAACAAAATTTAGTAAGAGAAGGAATTGTGTCTGTTTCATGATCATTGCTCTCCAGAATAGTACAGAGTATTCTGAGTACTAAAATGAATAAATAAATGAATCCAGTCCCTGCTCTCAAAGAACTGAGTTCAGAGGGAGAGTCACACTTAAACAAAGCATTATGATGCAAAATAACAGAGGCCATGAAAGAGATACTTATAAGGAGCAGAGAAGGGAAATTTCCAAAAAGTCATATATATATATATATGTAACCTATCTCTACAGTACCTATCCAGTAAGTGGCATAACAAGGACTTGAATCTGATTATCTGATGGCAGCCAAGAGAGGCCTCAGAGTCAGGTTATACTTTTTGTTAGGACTGACGACAAGGGAACATATTTCTATGCAAGAAAGTCCTTTTTAAGGAGAGTTGAAAGTTAAGAAAAAAGGAGATCCTTGACTTTCTCCAGCAGCAAGCTGCCCCCAGGTGAACAAGCAGAGAATGTGAACTGAGGCACCAATTCCATATTACAATGTGCATTTTTGAATGGAATAGGCCAGGGATGCAGGGAATCCGAGGGCTGTAACCCAGGTATTGCAGCCAAGATGGTGGCGCAGGCAGATGCGGCTCATCTCTTTATACAACAACACTCTTCATACAACAACATCAAAATTAAAACTAAAATATAGAACAATCATTACTCAGAAATGCCAGAAACTGAGTTGAATAGAAATCTGACAACTAAGGCATTAAACAAATCACATCCATCCGGACTGGTAGGAGGGGTTCAGATGTGGAACAGGCTGGTCCCACACCCACATGTGGTGGATAAAAATTTGCGAGAGATATCTTGGGAGTGAGGAGCCCCAGCCTCATACCAGGCACAAGCACAGGATTCCAGAGCCAGGAAGGATCCCCATAACTTCTAGCTGCAAAAACCAGTGGAGATTGTTGGTGGAAGAAAATCCTGTAGCCCCAAGAAGTTCTTCTTAAAGGAGCTACACACAGACTCACCTACTCAGACTCACTCCTTCTGAGCACCAGCACTGGGGTAGCAGCTTGAAAGGCACCAGAGGTATACAGGGAGAAAACAGTATGTCTACCATCAAAGCAAGCAGAGGCCATTGTTCCTTTCCTAAACCCTCTCCCCACAGAGCCACAGAGCCATCAAGCAGGTGCAACTGCTGAGACTCCATCAAACTGCCTAACACTGTTGACCAGTCTTAGAGATCCCTAGGGACCTGGCCCCATCCAACCTATGGGCCCACCCAAGCTGCTTTTCCATATGAATGGCACATCTTGGCTGAAGGTTCACAATTTCCTAAATCCTGTCAACAAGCAATAGCTGGCCTCAGTGAACACCAGGCCCAGCACTAGCAGGGGCCTGCTTGGATTCATATCTTGGCTTCACCTGGGAATCGCCAAGCCCAGCACAAATAGCAGCCACCTCAGATTGCTTTGTAGCTCAGGCAGGGTGGCCCAGGGCAAAACACAGGTGGGGGCTGACCTTGGCCTACACTACCTGGGAAACCCTAGGGCAGGGATGTAAAACTCATTTTCACCTGCGGCCACATCAGCCTTGTGGTTGCTTCTAAAGGGCCAAATGTAATTTTACAACTGTATAAATATAACTACTCCTTAAGGAGGAGTTACACATCCTCTGTTAAGGAGGTGAAATTATGTTCGGCCCTTTGAAGGCAAACATGAGGCTGATGTGGCCCCAGGTGAAAATAAGTGTGACACCCCTGCCCTAGGGCCAGATAACCCAGTGGACAGCTACAGGCCACATCAGAGCACCACTACCCTGCCCCCGCATCACAGAGCGGAGGTTGGTGGCAAGTGGTCACAGCCAGTCCTTGCAGCTAACTGGCCTGGGTAAATCCCTACCATTGATCTGCCGACAGCAACCAAGGATCAACTACAAGAAGAGGGTGCACTCAGTCCACATGAAGGGCTGGGTACCTCAAGTACCCAGCTATGGTGATAGAAGAGGCTGTGCCTCTGGACCCTGTAAGACACCTATTACAACAGACCACTACTAGGACACGAAGACAAAACAGTTCTACTTACACAGAAACAAACACATGGAAGCTGCGAAAATGAGGAGACAAAGAAACATGGCCAAAATGAAAGAACAGATTAAAACTCCTAAACAAAGGGAGAACAGATTAAAACTCCTAAACAAAAGGGAAATAAACAATCTATCAGATGCAAAGTTCAAAACACGGCTATAAGGATGCCCAAGGCACTTAGTGAGGACCTCAACAGCATAAAAAAGATCCAGTCAGAAATGAAGGACACACCAACTGAAATAAAGAACAATTCACAGGGAAACAGCAGCAGAGTGGATGAAGCCGAGAATCAAATCAATGATTTGGAACACAAGGAACCAAAAAACCACCAATCAGAATAACAAGAAGAAAAGAGAATCCAAAAAAATGAGGGTAATATGAGCGGTCTCTGGGACAACTTTGAGAAGCCCAATGTTCATATCATACGGTTGCCAGAAGGAGAAGAGAGAGAGCAAGAAACTGAAAATCTATTTGAAAAAGTAATGTAAGAAAACTCCCTAACTGGTGAAGGAAATAGACGTGTAAGTCCAGGAAGCACAGAGTCTCCCAAACAAGATGGATTCAAAGAGGCCCACTCCAAGACACATCGTAATTAAAATGCCAAAGGTTAAAGACAAAGAATCTTAACAACAGCCAGAGAAAAGAAGTTAGTTACAAGGGAGTTTCCAAAAGACTGTCAGCTAATTTCTCAAAAGAAACGTTGCAGGCTAGAAGGATTGGCAAGAAATATTCAGTCATGAAAAACAGGGTCCTACAGCCAAGACTGCTCTACCCATTAAAGCTATCATTTAGAAACGAAGGGCAGATAAAAAGCTTCCCAGACAAGAAAAAACTAATGGAGTTCATCATCACCAAACCAGTATTATATGAAATGTTAAAGGGACTTTTTTAAGAAAAAGAAGATCAAAACTATAGGAATAAAATGTCAAGTACGTATCAACAATTGAATCTATAAAACAAACAAAGCAAACAAGAAGAAAAGAGACAGAATCATGAGTATGGAAAGAGTTCTGGTGGTTGTCAGATGGGAGGAAGGTGTGGGCGACTGGGTGAAGAGGTTAGGGGATTAAACAGTTCAAATAGGTAGTTACAGAATAACCAAAGGGGTGTAAAGTACAGTGTAGGAAAGGGGAGTAGCCAAAGACCTTACACACATGACCCATGGACATGAATCATGGTGCAGAGATGGCCTGAGCAATTCGGTGTTCTAGGTGGAGGGGGAGAAAGAGGGGAGGAAATCAAGACAACTGTAATAGCATAATAAAAATATAAATTAAAAATAGAGTGCCCAGCCCTAGCTGGCTCAGTGGCTTGGACACTGGCCTGTGAACCAAAGGGTCACTGCTTAGATTCCTGGTGAGGGCACATGCCTGGGTTGCAGGCCAGGTCCCCTTTATGGGGCACACGGGAGGCTACTTACTACACATCGATGTTTCTCTGCCTCTTTCTGTCTCCCTTCCCCTCTCTAAAAGTAAATGAATAAAAATCTTTTTAAAAATTAAAAATAAAGATAAAAAAGAGCCAAATACTAAACATGAGTCTGTACCAGGTAGGCAGAAAAGAGGGGCCAAAAAAATAACAATAGTAGAGGAACAAACTAAGTATCAAGGGACCTCAATGAGAAGCAAGGTCAGGTCAGTCTAAGAAAGAAAACGACAAGATGGGTTGCAGTCAGGGAATAGGATACTTGAGTTTAAGATCTTAGAACATCGGCATCCTTGATCTCCTTTAGACTGAGGGAAATACTGCACGGTGGGATTATGTCAATCCCACAGAAAGTCAACCAGCAAAAACTAGCAAAGAAGGGACAGTACATAAGGCACAAGAACCAGTCATGACAGAGAAGAGGTAAACTGACGGACAATAAACTCACCAGAGGAAAATATGACACTCTTAGAGAAACGAGGACCCTTGATCTAAAACCCCACAGGAAAAGAACAGCAATGAAAGATGTGGGATGTAAGCTTCACAAGGGAGAAAACAGACCTGTATCTGTTTGGCTTATAACACTTCACCACCATAGAGAATTTGTTGAAAGAATGAAGAAATGGCCATCATTTCTCTCAACACTTGTAACAAAAATCTTACATATGCTCTCTGAAAACTACAGCAGAAATGAGTACTCCCAGGGCAGACAGCGAGTACCACTCACAGGCAGTAAGTACCTGGTTTCTCTGTTCGGCAGCAGTCAGCTCCTGCTGCAACAGGTCCACAACCTGGGCTCGGCCCAGCAAGGCTTCTTCGTGTTCTTCAAGCTTCCTCTGTAGCACCCTCAGTTTCTGAGAAAAAAAAGTTTTAGACGTAATATGCTAACGAGACCTGCTTACCTTTCAAAATGTCATGTAGATTTGTGCACTTAAGAGTTTTGGGTGTTGAGGATGAAGACTAAAGAGCGGGACACCAGCATGCCTTGCCCCCCATCCAGCAGCAAGGAAGAACCACCAAAACTCTCGTCCCAAGCACTGATAACCGTCAAACAGGACGCAAGCAAGTCCCTGAATTAGGGAGCTTTTTAATTATTAAAGAAAATGACACATACCTATTTTTAAAATAATATAGTCTCTGGCCTGTACCTAAATAACCTAAGTACATGTGTATCTCACTCACCAAAGAGAATATTCTCTGCAGGCAAGAACCATTTCTCTTCTAGTGTCATGCATGGGACATGCACTCGATAAACATTTGCTGAATGAGTAAATCTACGATACATGTGTACATTAATATTCTATTTTAAAAAGCGTTATATTCTAAACCTCATTTAGTGGTGTTTTCTGAAGGATTGCTTAGAAATTGGAAGACATTTTCACTCAAAGACAATTAAGTGGATCCATCATGAAAGACCACTGGAGTGCCTTTAGGTACCACACTGCACTACACACTAAACAGAAACAAGTTTCTCTGAGTTAGTAGATGATAAGCGCAAAAACAATGAAGCCAATTTTCAAAATAAACCAATGAAATTTTTTTAAATGCTGATCTAATAAAAGGCTTCGAAATCAATCCTTTTCATCTTTAATTTTTGAAAGTTTAAAACTGGTTTCATTGATTTGAAGATTTGGATCAGGTTTTTAATGCACAGAGGAAGTATCCAGGATAGCAAACAAAAGAGAAACCAATTTCTGACTATCACATACATTTGCCAATTAAATCAGCTTTTGATACCGACAACCTGGTTAAAGAGGCAAGGTAAGGATAAGAAAAAATAATCAATACGCAACAGAAGACAAGAACACCGAAAGAAGCCAATTAAGGAGCACACTAAGACCATGTGAGGAGCAGTGGGTAAAAGTGAAAAAGTGGCTGTTACCATTTAATTAAATGTTAACTAAAACAATAGTCATTCTACTAAGTTTTAGCAACACACCTGTTGCATCTCTGTTTCCACATCTGCCTGGGTTACTAACTGAAGAAGCTCATCTTCATGAAGACGAACTTGTGTTTCAAAGCGGGCATCTTTCTCTCGGACCACCTGCTGCATGGAACTCAACTAAAGACATACACCAGAGAAACTATAGAAGTTACACTCCCCAAATGTCACAAACAAAACTCATAGACTATTCTCCAAAGATAGACACTGAAAATTGATAGACAATAGGTTTTTTTACATTAAATTTTGAATGTCAAAGTTGATGATGTTAGAAGGGAGACAGGCCTGACAGTAACTTCCAAATGTGACAGTAAGCCTACTATCAACTTCAGAACTCAGCCTAAATATAAATTTTTATTGAAAATTATATTTGCAGGAGAAATAAACAGAAAACTATACTTGAAAAATAACTAAATAAAAATTAAAAAAAGAAAATTATATTTGTGTGGTTGCTAGAAGTGTTTAAGTATAAAACAGGTACATATTTTTGAAGTTTTAAGGAGACCAGAATATTAAACATACAAAGTGAAGTTAGATTTCTGTTAAGCCCTAGACACTACTTGCAATATCACACTCATGCTCAAAAACTTCCAATGAAATTCTCTAACACACACTTCAACCTATAGATCTTTTATCAAGATTCTCTGCAACTGACAATACAAATCTTTCTTTCTAGACTTTTTTTTTCAAAGAATTGCTTCTACCAAAAAGTTCTGTGTATTTCCAAACCCACACCACCTCCCCACAGCTATTTTCAGCTGTTCATTATTTGAAGGCTTCGAAGTTACCCTCATTTGTAACTAGCTCTTAACAAAATCATTGGAAATAAATGGACTGACTGCGAGCTGCTGAGTACGAGCATTGTTTTGTTTTGTTGTGTGTGTGCCTGCTTATTCATTTCGTTAAGATCTCTGGTTGAGCGTGTCCACAAGTTCTTACCATGTCCATTTTGCAATGGTCGTCAACTACTGCAGATTTCTCAATCTGTGACACCTTGAACTGACCTTGGCTTTCCTTCTAGGTGGGCCAAAAATCTTCAAAATTTTTGTGATTATCTGAATTCTAACATCACTATGAACTTAGAATCCTGTGTTTCAAGTGTATAGGTACTGGAGTCCTTCATTAGTCAATCACATCTACACATCCTTTCCTGTAAATGTACCATATTCTTTTTCCTTTCTGAGAGAGTGATCACACCGTTCTCCACAAATGCAATACCTTTCCCCGCCCTCTCTAGAGTAATACCTATCTGTCACAATTCTGCCTAAATCTAACTTTGCCCCTCAATCTTCTTTGGCTGTCACACTGATAGTAACCGCTTTCACATCTCAAGTCTCAATGCAGACTTTCAGTCTGCATTGCTGTGGCTATGCACTTACTTGGAATGACATGCATTAGGATGGACCTCTTGATATGTTTATAAATCTTGACTCCCAATGTTTTGAGTCACTTGTAGGCAAATTCATATTTTGTATTTTTCCATCCTAAATTGCATATAGTGTTTGTAATATAAAAAGGGCACAATAAAAGCTAATAGCTAAAAGTAAGGATTTCAGGAAATACCATTTTAACTGTATACATAGCAGTAGACCATCCACAGATAGAAAACAAGTCTAATACTGCAAGTTATCAATAAAGTGAACACCTCATGGATAAGAGGAAGTACTATGCAAAGGCGCTTCAGGAAAAAAATGTGTCAGGAGTCAAAAGCATTTTTCCCAAAGGAAAAATACTGGGGTAGGTGGTCAAACTGGAAATTTAGAAAAAGAGAAAGAAAGAGCTGAGGGCACCAATCCAAATGGTCTGGTCCTGGTAGCAGAACAAAACAGGAAAAATGTCACAAACTAGTGCCATTTATATTAAATCACATAACCTATATCACTTTCTCATATTATATACTCATTAATGTAACTTCCCAATGAAATTGTATTAAGGGAAAGAACAGACATAATCATTTGTATTTCTTTTAGTTTTTCTATCAGTGTCTTTTGAACTTAGCACGAGCTCATTCCTAAGAGACTGAATGTCTGTGTGTGATTAAACTCAAATCTCAAATCTCTGGGCCTGTAGAACTAAGAAACAAGTATCAATTAAGCTATGGCAAATTAATCAAGGTAAATAACACTTCTAATAACATACCCTTTTAATTTCTAGTGTAACACTCTTGGCTTTAGTCTTTCATCTACTAAGGTTTTCAAAGTGAGTGTCTGAATTGCCTTGTGTTGTAATAACCCATTTGACTTTTGTGATTCTTCCCCCTACTGATTAAGATGTATCTCCCACCCTACCTGAGCAGCTTGTTCTGCCTGTGTCTGGCTCAGCTGGGCTTGCAAAGCACCAATGAGCTCCTCCTTCTCTTGGAGTTGTTGCTTCATCACTGTAAGTTTTTCCACCTCGGTTGAACTCTTATGAAATTGAAGACACAGAAAGAAAAAACATTTATTTAATCAAAAGAATTAGCATTTTCAATTTTTTTACCTCTCTTTCCCATCTGCCCTAAATACCTACCAATATCCTTCTAATTCCCACTTAACACAAAAGGGAATTGCATGTACTGCAGTTTTTTTAGAAATACAAACTATTTTTCAGAGGACAACAGAAGCAATAACAGCATTTTACAAGGTCTCTCATATAGAAAGAGACAGTTCAACTAGACAGCAAAACCCAAAACAATATGTACATAGACAATATGTACAGTCCAACTAGGAGGGCAGGTAGGGACGACCTACCAAAAGGCACAAGACCTGCGTGGTACTACAGTCTGTGTGAGAGGAAGCAACAGAGAAACATCTAATGGCCTTGAAAAGAGTTGAAAACCCCCAAAGAGCCAATAAGCATTCACTGGAAAACACAACTGTCCAATCTTAGAACAGCAGCTTAAATGAGCAGGACTTGACCATTCTCCAATAGGATAAATGCAAGGGGTCCACAGAAAGAACTAAAAAGACTAAAACAATCTTGCTCCTCTGAACTCTTAAAGCTAACTTAGCACAGCTGCCTTCCAAGATATGAACCTGCACTAAACAGGTATGTCCAGGAATGAAATAAAAATTGAGTAGAATAGAGATAACCAAAACAGGAAGAAAGGTCTATATATGTGCTATATATCTCATTACTGACTAGCCATATATTGCTACAAAAGGCTTGAAATATGCCTAATGTGAAAGAGAAATTTAATTATTTACATTATTTACTGTTAATTAATTTAAATTTAAAAACTGAAGAAATAGAATATTTTTCCATTAAATATAACTGTTTTGATACAAGTACATTTCACTCTACTGCACCATATAAGGTACTTCTGAATTGTCTTGCAAGTAGTAAGTGTGCATATTGTTCCTGGTGTTATAATAAATACACCTCTTACCTAGTTGGTGTGAATGGATTGATTCAGTTTGAATGATATCTTTTCTACACAGCTATATAACACTGTAATGTGTTTATATGAATGCTCTATGCAGAATCTGAGTAACAGCTGATATTTATGAGAATCATCATTGGTAATTAAAATGACATATGTTAAATATAATTGAATTATTTTTCCAGTGCAAAAATAAATATAGTCACTTCTTTTTATCCTTACCCAATGACATTTTTTCATTGCCTTTTAGAGAGAGAAGAAGGGAGACAGGAAGGGAGAGAGAAAAACATTGATGCGAGAGAGAAGCATCAATTGGTTGCCTCCCTTATGTGCCTGGACTGGGGATCATACACACCAGACCAGGGATCAAACATGCAACCTAGACATATGCCCTGACTGGGAAGTGAACCTGCAACCCTTCAGTTACAGGAAGACACTCCAACCAACTGAGCCACAATGGCCAGGGCAGTATAGACACATTTTAAAGTTTAAAATGAAGTCGTAGTCCTGACACACATTCACTCCACTTCATTTCTAGGAGAATTCCATTATGAAGATATACCATAGTTGAGCTATTCATCTGTTGACAGGAACTGTTTCAAGCTGAACTATTCACCTGTTGATAGGAACTGTTTCAAGTTTTTGGTTAATAAAAGTAAAGCTCCTATGAACATTTATATAAAAAGTCTTTGTATGAACACATGCTTTCATTTCTCACAGATGTAGCTTTGAAGTTGATATGCTTTTCAAAGTCCAATTATTCTCCTAAAAATAATGAACTAGTTTCTCAATGCAGATGCAAATACTAAAGGAGAATGGTATTTCAACCCTCAGTTCAGTAATGGGAAAACTTATAGTTATGTTTGGAACAACCTAACTAATGGATCTATTTTCTCAACTGGAAATTTTATAAAATCAAAACACAGATCATTATTCCCAATGAAAATGGAGTATCCAAATTGTGATGTAATATAAAATATACATGAAATTTCAGACTTAGTGCAGAAAAAAATGTAAAATAACACAAAAATATTTTCTTTTTCTTTTCCAACTTTGAGTTACATTATGAAGAAGTGTCTGTCTAGTGCTTTAGCCTTAACACCCAGGACAAGAGGTGGGGTCACCACAGACCTAATGCAGAGAGAAATGTGACTTAGTAGAAACTTCAAATTTGTACCATACAGATTTACATATATAGGCCTACCACACCTGTTAAGTCAACTGCTTGAAAAATCATAATGAAAATATCCAGAAAAATAATATTAAAGAGATTATGAGGGATAAGGACCCTCTGCTGTAAGGACAGGCAGGACTAGGCTTCCAGAAGCTGGGCTCTGGGAGGCGGACAGGAGCCTCCTGGAGGGGATGCAGTCACAGGGAGAGTGTCAGACAGGGCTTTGAAAACGTCAGCAGGGGGTCTAAGCAGAATAACTAGTATACAGTGTATGACCATTAAATACTTATTGAAATTACTGAATTATTAAAAATACAGTAGGGCTGATAAAACATACCACAACTCAAAGGTACCAGAAAAAGTAACCAATTTCTAAGGACTCTCATTTTGCTTTTGAGCCTACTCAACAGAACAGATCTATCTTCAACTCATAAATGGACATAACTTAGTCTTCCAATTTTAACCAATGCTTTTTAGGTATTATCTCAGTTGCTTCAGGATTTAATTACAGTGAATTACATCTTTTTTCGCCCTCATTCTGATGAGCTCCTCTCCAGAGACTGAGTTCTTGCACATCAGAGGCAGAGATGCTTCAGCACTGACATGCTCTGATCTGGCCCATCTCGACGGGACGGGCATCCTGCTGCAGTGAGGCTAGTCCTGCCTGTTGCCAGCGTGAACCCACTGCTGAAAGGGAAGGCCTTACTATAGCCTCCAGTCATACAGATGCCCTATTCTCCAGCCTCCTTGCCCCGATTTCGTGTCTTCTCCAGTCCTCTTAGCATTTGTGCATCCCCCACAGTGTTGGAAGAAGTTCTGGACGCTCTAGATGACAAACATGTGCCATAGGAACCCGAGATCCTAGCACAGGCTTATTTGCCAAGACCTCTCCTCCAGACAGTTCAAATAAGCCACAGGGGCTGCTCTGCATACTGAAGATACTCAGTATTCGACTTCTCTAAAGGGGTTGCAGTTTCCCCAAGCTATGTACCAAGAAACCCCCTTGCTCCAAGATTCCCCAAATCTCTCTGGCCCTCCCTTTACCCTCTGCCCATTTCCCAAAGATCTGATTGTGGGGTAGGAGAAAATGATGTTTATATTATCTTCAAAGTATAGTATTTTGAACACACGGGGCTAAATTAATTTCACCTGTTTCTTCACAACCTACTGTAATGCAGCTACTACAAAATTAAAATTATACATGTGACTTACTGGACAACACTGGCATAGACCAAAGTGAGGGGTAGAGGAAAGGAAGCAAGAAAATCTTAGAAACCCAACAGTCATATCTTTGCATACAATACAAAAACAACAGAAGAGAGACGTCTGTTAAGTCAAAAAAGCTTCCCTGAACCAAGACTCCTTTTATTACTTTTTTTATTATTACTTTTTAAAATCCTAACCCAAGGATATGTTTATAGATTTTAGAGAGAGAAGAAGAGGGGATGAAACAGAGAGAGACATCAACATGAGAAAGAAACTTTCATTGGTTCTCTCTCCGTTCATTGGAGAAACACGCCATGACCAGGGACTGAACCCAAAACCCAGGTATGTGCCCGGTCAGGAACCGAACCCGCAACCTTTTGGTGACAGGATGACACTCCCACTAACTGGGCCACCCAGCCAGGGTAAAACTCCTTTTAAAAGTTATGGAAAATTACCAGACTTGGGAAGAAAGGAAGGAAAGTAAGGAAGAAAGGCAATACATAACATGGATAAACATCTACTGGGCACCTAAAAAATGTGTTTGTCATATAATAATTCAATGGGCTTTAGTGATTGTTAACTTAATGATTATGAGGTGACATACACCCCTACCTGTGCAGCTTGCTCTGCCTGTGCCTGAGTAAGCTGGGCTTGCAAACTGCTAATTAGTTCCTCCTTCTCCTGGAGTTTATGTTTTATCATTTCTACTTCCATCTCTTCCTCTGTAGAACTCCTGTCATGCTGAAAACACAAGAGATAGTCATTTATTTAAAAAAATTACAGTCACTATACATTTGATCTTTGGCTCTAATTTGCCCTATAAAACCATTTCATTATAGTTTCATCAAACTGATGTGAGTGAGAAATAACACCTGACCTAACAACAAGAAAGAAACCTTCAACTTTTCCAGTTTCAGTGGGGCCAAGTAGCTCATACTAAGGCCCATCCTCCCTCAGATAACAGCTCTAAGACTAAATAAGGAATTGCAACAACTATCTGAAAATGAGGAGGACCACCAAAGCCAACGCTACTGCAGGGGAGTTGACAGTTAAGAGATGGCACCGAGTTTCCCGTTTTCATGGTTTTTTAGTCTGAGGGCAAAGCCAGTCTGCGTCACCCAGGACTCAACAGAAAACTCAGTCTCACTGCCTTGACAAACCAGAGGCCAAAAGTGCAAAGTGAGGGGCAAAACACCATCAAAGAACCAGTGAGAGGAAATCTAAATCTTTCAATAGTCTATTTTTCCCCCAAAGCCCCTTAGACTGAACCAGATCACGCCCCCTCCTCCCTTTAAATGCACATCCCCTTCCCCTGATGAACCTACGCTCCCTTACTGGAACTACCCAATAATTTTATACTTTTTCCCACACAGTAGTTGGTCAAGCGTCTGAAGATTGCCATCATTTCTTCAACTACAGTTTGCACAGAACACCTAGCTCAGTGACACGTGTACAGCAGTTAGAGGGCTGCTCTGACTGACTGCTAGAGCTGTGAAACCTTTTAATCCAGCCCTTTAATTTAACAGAGGAAGGAACTGACGCTGTAAAATGTTGATTTGTTTAAGGTCTCAGATTTAAAAAGAAGGCAGATTATAACATGGGTAATTTAAAAATGTAGCAACATGGCAGAGGGTGGGAAAGTTAGAAGAAACAAAGCGACTTGGAGAGAAGCTGCTTCTCCCGCAGCTAGGGGAAGAAGGAATTAGCAGAGGAGAAACCAAGAAGTAAGAAAAGAAGAATCGAAATGAAGAAATTATATGAAAAAAATGAGAGAAGCTTCTAAAATAAGCTTTGAGAAGTTTCATAAGTCTATCAATGCAGGAAAAGTAATGTCTTCAGAGCATTAGACCCAATAAGAATGACTAACCAGTTACCCCCAGGGTTATACCTGCAGAATCGACTACGACCTAATTTCCCAAGAACTAAGTATTGAGAATAAGAGTACTGGTGGGTCAAAGGATGAGGTAGGATGAAATTAAGAAAATAAAAAGATTTCTTATGCAGCGTGAAGTCTAGGCCAACTGTAGCATGTACACATGATATATCAGCCTCCATACATTCTGCACCAAACTCAGAAAGGAATCAAGACTAGCATTAAAACAACGTTCTCTTCCTCAAAAGGTACTACTTTCCGGACTCCTCTCTGTCTCCAACCTCAAACTGTTTTCTTGGTGGTGGTCATCAATCTAAGGAACATGCCTCATAGGGGGGCAAGGCAATCTAAAAGATTCAGCCTACAACGCATGAAACTTTAATCTACTACTTTATTACCATATAAGAACACAGGCTATTCTGTATTAAGTCACTGAATTAAAGAATTTCAGAGCTAGAATAAACCTAGAGACCAGCTAGCTTAATCTTCCTACCAACGATGAAACTTCTCCTATCTAAAAACCTCACCACAGTATTAACTTCTTCCCACTGGCCTTTTTAATTCTCTGAACGTCTAAGTAACAACTGGCACTTCACTTCCATATTTTCTGTTGACCTTTTGTTCACCCTGCGTGTGGCCCATAGTCCAGCTACACTGCAAGTTCAGTAAGAAAGAACAGCATTTAAACTGTACTTGAACAACAATAAAAAATGTGAAAAAAAAAAATAAAGGTCTTCTTGGCTCCCTCTCCCCATCAAAAAGAAAGAAGGAGAAACAAAGAGAGAGAGAACAAACGAATGAACAGAATTTAGTGTTTATTACTTTAGCTTCGTAAGTATGTGACTAATAAAGATCTGTCATATTGGAAAGCTTTTTGCACTCAGAAAATATGTATTTTACCCAGTCACCATACCTTGGAGAGCTGCTCTTCTGATTGAGGCCCTGTAGGCAGAGCAGTCCCTCCTTGTGCCTTCATTTCTTCTATGTGTTTATTCAAAGACGTTAATTTGGCCTTAGCATGAAGTTTCAGCTTTTTAATTTTGTTATCAGCAGCTTTTCTTTCTTCCTGTCAGAGAACAATGATGACAAATACATATATGTTTGCTGACAGTTTATCTAGCCCATAACAAGAGTAGGCATCACCTTGTAGTACCAGGGAAATAAGAATCAGATTCTCCAATAATCTTTTAGTAAATACTGAGCAAGAAAGTAGTTAAAACATTGGTACCTGTAGAACTTCATCTTTCTGTTGCAGTTCAGTATCCTTCTGTCTAATGATTTCTTTTAGCTCCACCACCAACCTCTCCGCATGAGCCAGGCGCTCCAGGACATCCTCTTGAGTTTTATCGTTAAATTTCATATCAGACTCTTGGGGTAATTCCTAGCATTTAGACAAAAAATTGCCAATGTACCAGAGAAAAGGCATGAACCTCTAAACAAAAGTTCTTCCTTCATTCCAACTTCATCTGATCCCAACTCATATCCTTACTCAGGAAATCTATCCAACTCTAAACCAGTAATAACTGTTACCACAGCCATTATAATATGTTAAGTATTTTGTAAATGTTAAGCATTTTATAAAGATTATCTTATTCACAGTTTTATTATTCCAATTTTACCAAAGAGAAAAATAAAGGGAAGCAAAGATCACAAACCATTATGCCCAAAATTTTAAATTTAAAATTAAGAGAGTAGTTGAATAAAATTCTCTTAACCACTAGGCAATACTGCTTGTCTTTCCAGAAAACTAAAGGACTTCTTCCAATTCCTTATGTGGCCCTCAGAAAATACAATGCCAACTATAAGAGAAGTGATGGATGAATTTACAGTACAAACAGATATTCTTAAACAGGAAAGGAGCACCAATTCCACCATTTGTCATTCAAATCCTTCCTAGAGAAAATGAATCTATTATAGACCCAAGTAGGAGTTAAAACAATGTAACACTAGACAAGTCTCTGGGGGCTGAGTGTAAAATATCTCATGACTCTCACCCAGGACTTGATTCCTATCAGTGGGACCATTTATACTCTCAACATTTTTCTTAATCCTCTCTTCTACCTAGCAGCATGAGGGAGGCTGCTCAAACCCTTCTATTTTAAATTACGTTCCTCAGAAGAACAGGTTATGTCTCATCAGCTTCATTCAGAGCAGAGCTACTTACAGAGTCTAACGAAGCCGTCATATTCTGATCTGTGTCATCCCCCGACAGTTCATGTAAAACAACATTTGCCAATCCTGACAATCGACTCAACATTTCTGCAAGAAAAGAAAACGTAAGAATCAGTAAAATACAGAAACACACAGTCCTTTCCTATATCCGCAACTATCATCTGTAAGTAAAATAAGAGAACTGTGTGGGTAGAATGTGTTAGAAATGGACTGAGCAAGGCAGTATCTTTTAAAAAGGTAGCTGAGTACGTCCCGTGCAGTCACACACGCTTCAGTGGCAACAGCAGAGATTATAATCGCCATAACCAAAAATTTAAAATAAAACTCAAGTACATAATTATTTAGTGGGAGATAACCTACAGGTTATCTTCAATGCCACGTCTTTCATCAGAACTTCATTTATAAACACAAACTTCTAACTATTCCTTCCCACCTAGACTGCTATTCTTTCCTACTCTGTCAAATAAACCCCATGATTCAGCAATACTTTTTCATTTGATGTACCCCATGAACCCCATTCTTTCAGGAAGCTTTCCTGATAAATCATGTGTTTTTGCTAAAACTTAAGTATAATCCTTGTTCAAAATCCAATAAATTTAATTAAAATAAGAAAAAAACATATACCATTAACTGCATATATTAGAAAAGAAATAAGGAATCCACAACCCATGCTTCCCTTATAGAAAATTAGAAGATGAAGAGCAAATTAAATGTTAGCAGAAAAAATAAATTCAGATTAGAGCAGTAAACTAATAAAACTGAAAATAGAAAAACAGAAAATCAATAAAATCAAAAGGTTTTTTTTTTGTAAGATCAGTAAGACTGACAGAGCTCTGGTCAAGCTGACCAAAAGAAGAAAGTCACAAATTATCAACATCAGATACGAAAGAGGAAACATCACTACTGTTCTAACATACATTAAGCAATAATAAAGGAACACCACAAATAACTCTATGCCTATAAATGCATTGATATGGATAAAATGGGCCAATTTCTTGAAAGATACAGCTACCAAAAATCACAAGACACAGACAGTGTAAATACATATGTACACACACACATACATCAACACTTCCCTCTCTCCTCAAGTTTCCAACGAACTGCAAAATAAACATGGATGGAAACAAACCCCCAACAGCCACAGATCTATGTGGCATTGCTGCCCACGCAGGAGAAAGTAGAGGGAAGTGAAGGGTGGCATAGTGAGCCACTCCAAAATATGTTACTTTGGCATAAGTATTATTTTGAGCTAAAGACACTTAAAAAAAAAAGCAGGAAATGTTGTGTACTCTGACCTCCCTTTTTTCCCCTCTAAGCAAGAGATTAAAACACCCATATAGAAGATGTCTGCCCTAAATCAGGAGATAAGTAACATTCTCATCTCCAGGGATGGGGAGTTGAGGCCAAGGGAAATTTGTAAAAATAAACCTTGCAAACTAACCATTATCTTCCCAGTCACTTCTCCATGATTAACTACCCCCTTGCCTTGTCTCATTTGCAGAATTTACTACTCTATCTAATTCGTTATATAAGTGTTTAATTCAAGTGCTTCTTTGGGTCTTCATTACCTCAGGAGGGCGTCTGTGTTACATAAAACTTACATTAAATAAATGTATATGCTTTTCTCTTGTTGATCTATTTTACTTCAATTTCTCAGGCCCAGCCAAGAAATCTAACACTGTTACCATTGGTATCTAGGTAGAAAAGGGGAACAAACGGGAACTAGACACTGAGCTTAATAAACTGAGAAGCAGGAGCCTGCTTGCTTAGCCAGGAAGCTACAGCTTCACACCCCAAGGGATCAACACTCCTCCCTTTCCCCACCCCACCCCCCACCGGGGATCACTGGAGGGTACAGGGGCAGGTGCTTGATCTAATTAGGGGGATGGACCTATGCAGAGCCTGTGAAAGTTTGGGAAGTTGACTGGTTCTTTTGGAGAAGTACCTGGTCCATCCCAAACCTAAGCTCCTGGTTGTAACCCCATGGAAACAAAGAAGCCTTCTCTCTCGGGTAATGCATTCACCCTGTGTGATCCCGTGTTCTCTCTCCACTGCCGTGTGGCCATAGCAACCAATCGGCCAGCAGCCCCATGGACTCTACCACCAGAGCAGACAGAATGGAAACCAGCCCAGTTGCCTGGATGGGGGCTGAGATCACTTAGCTGCCTGCCTGTGGGCTTCAAAGGACTAAACCTCAATGTGAAACAAAAACTCTGGACACTGGCTTTTGTGCTGGGCCTACTGAAGAAACGGTTGTACTTTTTCCATGGTGGGACAGAGGGAGGAGGTGAGACACTGGAAACCCAGGAAGAAGCTTCTATTTCCACGTAAGTAAACCATGCCACACCAAGCTCCCATGCACAGGTCCTCGGAATGCTTTCCTCGTGATCCTGTGGAAAAGTCTAATTTCCACGTGCAACCAGAGGACAGAGGTAAAATTCTGATAGACCATATGCTACGAGAACCACAAAGGACCCCGTGAGTATTTACTGGAACACTGCCAAGCTAGTTAAAGAACAGCGGCTGAAAGAATCTGGTATAGCCCCACCACAGCAGGTAAGGGCAAAGAACTTACAGAATCTGAAATGGTTACTACAGGAGCCAGGGCTCTTTCCCAGAACAGGGCCTCCACTGAGGAGAATCTACTGAGAACAGACTCAAAATTCATCAAGGCGGAGTCAACAAGGACCAATGAAAGATCCAGATAAAGAGTGCAGATGGTAAAAAAAAAAAAGTGTCAGGAAATCTCAGAAATCCAGCTACCACATATTTGAACAACATGGGAAAACAACACAGAAAAGCAACTCAAGTTCAAAAATGTTAAACACACATAAACATGAGCAAATACAAGGTAACACAGTAAATTTTCATAGAAAATTATTCTAAGAAAAACTAATATTCAAGAAATAAAAGAATTTCGAAGACTCTTGCTTAAAAACAATTCAAAACTACTAAACAACCTGATGACCCACAACATCTCCTAAAAAAACAGAAAGGCACTAAAGTGATATAAGATATAAAAATATATATATGAAATTGATACAATGGAATATTACTCAGCCATAAAAATGAACAAATTTCACCATTTGCGACAGCATGGATGAGTCAGTCAGTGAAAAGCAAATACCACATGATTTTCCTTATATGTAAAATCTAAAGAAAAAAGAAATGAACAAACAAAATTGAAACAGACTTCTAGACACAGAGAACAAACTGATGGTTGCCAGACAGGGAGGATCTGGGGGACTGGGTGAAAAGGTGAAAGGCTTAAGAAGTACACAGTGGTAGTTACAAAACAGTCACAGGGATGTAAAGTACGACACAGGTAATACAGTCAATAACACTGTAATAACTACGGATGCTGCCAGGTGGCAATACCTAAGGGAACACTTTGTAAAGTATATAATCATCTAACCACTATGCTGGATGCCTGATAATCACAAAAAATAATACTGAATGTCAACTCTGATAGAAAAATAAAATTTTAAAAGATAAAAAACAAAAACTACTTTTATTAAAAATTGTTTTGAAAAACCCTGGAAGACGGCAAGAAAACAAGAAAGGAGCAAAGGAACTGCAATACTGTAAGAAAACTATTAACAAAATTACCACAGTTGGTCCTTAACCTTTCAATAATTACTTTACATGTAAATAGATTAAATTCTCCAGCCAAAAGACACAGCAGCTGAATGCATTAAAAACCCAAGATCCAACTATGTTGCCTACAAGTCTCACTTAGCTCTAAGGATATACATAGGCTAAAAGTGAAAGATGTGAAAAGAAATTTCATGCAAGTGGTAACCAAAAGAAAGCAGGGGTACCTCTACTTCAGACAAACAGACTAGACTTCAAGTCAAAACTGTCACAAGAGACAGAAAAGGTCATTACATAATAATGTAAAAAGGTCAATTCATCAAGAGGATATAAACTTATAAATATATATGTACACAACATCAAAGTACCTAATTATATTAAGCAAATTTAAGCCAAACTGAAGAGAGAAATAAACAGCAATGTAATAATAGTAAGGGACTTCATTATCCCCATCAGCGATGGATAAATCATCTATACAAAAAAAAGCATTAAAAAAACATTGGACTTGAACTATGCATTAGACAAAATTGACCTAATAGGTATTCTTTTCAACTACACACGGAACATTCTCCAAGACAGAAAATATGTTTGGCCACAAAACAAGCCAACAAATTAACAGCAGTATCAGCAAGGGGAAGAAGTGGTGGCATCGACCATGGTGGTGGGGATCCATTGGCAACGTGGCTATGCAGAAAGTGGCCAATTCAGTCATTTTTCCTTGTAAATATGCCTCTTCTGAATGTGAAATAACTCTACCACACAGAAAACACAGACCACAAAGAACTCCGTGAGTTTCGGCCTTATTCCTACCTGTGCCCCTGTGCTTCCTGTAAGTGGCAAGGACCTTTGGATGCTGAATTGCTTCATCTGATGCCACAGGTCCATTACAACACTGTGGTGAGAGGATACAGTTTTCCTTGCTACAGACATCAATTTCCCCCCGTTGTGAACTGGGTGATGATGCAGAGTCCTGTTTCAACTTTCATTTCATGTTAGCCTTGGAGAAACATAAGTACGATAGGCACCAGCAGTTCTTTGGAACTGTACACATGATACAACATGCAAGCAAGCTGAAAATTTTCTGTATGGACTTGAGCTAAATGGTAGGAATTTAGGCAGGTCTGACTTTGAAAGCCAATCCTCGGTTAATGCATGAGGGAACTGCAACAGCTGTTATGAATAGGGACTGTCTAGTTCTTGATGCTAGCACTGCACAGCTTTTTGCAGAAAATGGCAATTCAGGCATCAATGTAAAACAGAATAACCCAGAAGTGAAGTGGAAAAAACTGCAATTTTAAAAAATCATTTTGGAAATGAAGATGAAACTAAAAGGAACAGTAAAATGAATAATTATAACAAATCATGTCTTAAAAAAAAGCTAAAATAAAAAATAATTTTAAAAAACAGAAAATAACTATAAATATACTACATTACAACCCAGTAATTTTATACCTAAGCATTTATTTCAAAGAAATAAATACTTAAATTCAAAC